TTGTTTGGTTAGATTTGAAATTGTAAGGAATAACGAGTATAAAGACCTATATGTCCCTACAAATTAATAAGAGTAATATAATTAAAAAGAAAACAAGGGTAAAATTGGTAATTCATCTCACTTTTTCTTCCCATCTCTCATGGAAAACAAAATCTTTGGTCCAACCAAGGATTTTGTTTTCCTCAAATTTGAGGAATTCATTGGAAAATAAATTCCATGAACCAAATACCAGAAAACAACATTTTCCTCCACTTTAAGAAAAATGTTTTTCCTTTGAAAAACATTTTCCATGAACCAAACATCCCTTAAAGAAATAAATAACCAATGACTGTAATTTAAAAAAGGTTGAATGGATTAAATAAAAGCTCAAAAGTTGACTCATTTGCAGTGGTGCATGCCAGCAGATCCAATTGTAAAATTAGGCATTTTTAATAAGTGATGTCCCTTTTTCTTATGTGTGAAAACTAATCCTCAAACATTATGTTAATTTGTCTAAACTTTATCCAGATATGATACAAGTTCATTAACGAGACATACTTTTTATAAAAGTCAAACTTTTAATTTTGCTGTTACATTAACAATTCACTTACTAATACTATTTAAATTTTTGGGTTATTGGCGTTGGAGGTCCTTAACTCTTTATTATTATTAGTAAAAATTCTTGTATTAATTTCCTAACAAGGATCATTTAAACCCTGGCTTTGAATTAATAGTGAACCAGATCCACCATCTTTTATTGTGCTGAATAATTATTCTTTCCCCATTCGGATTTGAGTACAAAGGGCCTCAAAGAGCGAATAGTCCTTTGTTTTTCACGGGTATCGCCACACGGTTTAACCCCGATCACCTCCTAAAGAATATGATGCAATAATAGAGCAGATATATGAACCAATAATAGAGCGCATATAGAGACTATTCCCCTTTTTATACTAAAGCAGGGTTGTCCAAAGCTCTTTTCTTAAGAGAGTATATGCTACTTATAGGTTGAAGTCAAGAGTAGAAAAGCCATAGATAGACTATATGTCTAGGCTTTGAATGTCTCCCAAACTATATACACACAAGTTTCATATGATCACATTGTACGTAGCTGTGAGTAGGGCATTTAGTCTCCCTTCATTGTCAAAAAGCTAAGGTACCCAAATCCCTAAAATATTCAAATTTGAAACTACTAAGTAAAAGCTAGTTTGGTATTTTTCGAAAAAAAAAAAAAAAGTTTAGCCTCAAACAAAGAACGAAGAGTTACGATAGGCTTTAATCGATCAATCACATACACAAGGAAATAGATCGGATAGTAATTTCTAATCTTTTATCTATCTTGACCTTCATGTGTGTTTGATGTCCCTCTGAATAACTTGAAGTAACATCTTTTTTACATATCTTATTAGCTTTAGCTCAACACCTTAAATGTTGATTTGTTTGTTTTCTTCCATTGCATGGAAAAAAGTAAAAATAGAAGTGGTCAATTTTTATTTTTTAAAAAAGAAAATGGAGGTAGCCATGAGTGTAGCATTGTATATTTTCAACACATGTGATGATGATATGATGGGGTATGTGTATATCCAATCTGGGTAGTTTAATATATATACATATATACATCCAATTAACCACAAATGAATTGTAAAAGCTACACATGTGACTAAGTAACAGATCTCAAAAGGCAGTAACCTTTATGCGGCCAAGGTCAACTATAGTCCCATACCTGGTTTTCCCCAATTAACCTTCTACATCCCCCTTGGTCACCAAAAACACTATTTTTTTAAAACAAAACAATAAATAAATATTTATTTATTTATTAAAAAACTAAGTTTACACCTTATAAGCTTGTAATTGAGAGATCGACTTGATTAATTAAGTTATAGGATAGTTAGCTCTTCCGTCTCAATAATTCATTTAGAGGGGCCAGGTCACATCTATTACAACTCTGCCATGTGTCACATTAGTGACTGTTGATTAACATAGCGGCCAGTTTAGGCACCAGAAATGTTACGTTAACTCAATTAGTGGAGCTCTAACATACTACTACTAACCTTACTAGTATAAATAGGGGACTATGTTTGCTTGTTATAACATCCTCATTTGTTCAGTTTTTAGCATAAATTTTTAGGTGCCAACTAGGAGGGAAGGAGGAAGGAAAAAAGAGAATTGTCTAAAAAAAAAGTTGTTCTTAACGTGCCCAACAATGCATGCGTCTGACTGGGTGCATCTGTCTCCGCAGATACCTTGCACGCGGAAGGTGGCAAATTAGTTTTATTTTTTATTTCACTTTTATGTGAAAAACCATGTCCTTAGGGCATCTCCATTAAGAATATCAATTTCAATTGGGATTATTTATCTATTTGTTGTGGTTTTTATGTGCCATGAAGGAGTGAGGAAAGAGATCAAAAAAAAGAAAAAACAAAAACAAAAACAAAAACCATCCCGAAATTAAAAAGAAACACTAATGAAAGGAAGACCACTCACGTCCCAGTGGGAGGGCCGATTTGGGGCGCTGCATGCGCATTACGTGCTGTGTTGTGCTGCGCTGAAATGTTTTGCTGGGACCCACTTGCTTTGTAATAACCGGGTCTTTGCAGCAGGATTTTTTTTTTTTTTTTTCACATCACTACAAAAATCTTAAAAACTGTGAATAATCCACAAATGTGAATGCTCTGGGGGCGTTTGGTTCACGGAATCTTAGATTATCCCAGGTAATAGGATTGCCTAGGGGTAAGTAATGTGAGATTTTGGGAATGTAAGATTACCTGATGTGTTTGGTTAAAGTTGTAGGAATGTAACATTAACTTGTTTGGTTGAATGTTATATTTTAGGTTATATTACACCAATTACTTAAATGCCCTCATAGGAATTGAAAGGTGTAAATTGCAAGTCTTTTTTTTTTTTTTTTTTTCCATAATTCAAAATTTAATAAGATGCTTCTACTAATAATAATAATAATAATAATGATGATGATGATGATGATGATGATGGAATGCATACCCTGTAAAGATGCTTCACAGACCATCCAACACCAACAAAATTTAAATTAAAATCTACAAACATGCAATTCCTGCTAATTGATTGTCTTGTTACATAATTTGTGATAAGTAGCCAAATATTACCATTGTAATCTACTTCATTTTACAATCCATCCAACACCACAAATAAAAGAAGACAAATAAATGACGGCAATTTTAGAATATTGGAAATTAATCTCAAATTACCAAACAAAAACTTGGTAATCAGATTACCTCAAATATACTTCCATTTCCTAGGTGGCAATAATCTTGCATTATTTACCCTATTAAATTACCTAAATCAAACATGGGCATCTAAGATTACCTTTCTCAGATTACCAGGCTGGTAATCTGAGATCCCTTGAACCAAACGCCACCTAAGGGGGTTATGCATAGGTTTTGAGGAAAAAAGTGTGAGTTGGAGGAGAGAGAGGGTAGAGTGTGTTGCACGAGGTTAAGGTTCTTTGTCTCCTTGTGTGGGCCCCACAAAGAAAAGAAGCAAGCAGAAAAGTTAGCGTGGGCTGCACATTCGCGCCCAGTCGGGTGCGTGCGTTTCAAGTTTTTTTTTTTCTTTTGCTAACATTTTTTTTAACCTCCTTATCTCATTTTATCTTTCCTAGTCACACCTACAAAAACTCTTCAAAAGTCACACCAAGATTTCCACTATTAAGGATGCCCTTAGATTAGATTGAGACCTCACATCTTCTCCATCCCCTCTCTCTCTCTTCTCCACATAAGCCTTCATCCCTCAAAAACTACACCAAGATGCATTGAAGGGATGCTCTTAGTTGACCTCAAATTAGGAATTCTAATTTCATTTACTCATATTTTAATTTGTACTAATCAACATAGCTCTAATTAACTAAGTAATATTTCTAATACTCATCCGATTGATCCCCACTAGTTCATTAGAATTCTACAACATATCATACATATATATATATATATATATATATATATATATATATATATATATATATATATATATATATATATCTTGAGTCTTGACCCTCTTGTTCGGGTTGTATAACACTATCAAAACTATATATCTAAGATAAATATTAAAAACGTCTTTTCCTCTTATGGAGTATATATATTGATTACAATATGATTATATATATATATATATATATATATATATATATATATATATATATAATTGTGGCAATGCATGGGAGGCCACTCTTGAAGTTGTAACAGATCGATCTACATCTCTCCATCTCCTCACTACCGCGTGACCATCACTTCCTTCCTCTCTCTCTCTCTCTCTATATATATATATATATATATATATATATATATATATATATATATATATATATATATAATCCCAAGCTTCCAAGAAACTGTACAGTGACCTTAACCATTATTAAACTTTGGGATAAAGTACAAATAAGCCACTGAATTATTTGGAAAACAGCAATTAAGCCATCGAACTCAAATAACCCTCAAATAAGTTATTGAACTCGGAAAAAAAAAGCAAATAAGCCATTGAACCCTGAAAAAAAGAGCAATTAACATTTTTTACAGGTTAACTCCAGATTTTTGCTGATTGGATTGTCAAATGTTTATTTTATTTACGTTTATTATTATTTTTTTTATTAATATTATCCACTTGGATAGTATTATATTTTAAAGTAATTATAATCAAAATAGTTTTGTCTTTGATTTATTTATTTATTATTATTTTTTCACTGGATCTTTTGTTTAAAAATAATAATAAATAAATAAATTAAATCTAGACAAAACAAAACTACTTTGATTATAATTACTTTAAAATATATTACTATGTAGGTGGATTATAATAATAAAAAAACGTAAATAAAATAAACATTTGGCAATTCAATCAGCAAAAACCTGGAGTTAACTTGTTAAAAATGATAATTACTCTTTTTTTTTTTTGGGTTCAATGACTTATTTGGGGTTATTTGAGTTCGATGGCTTAATTACTTTTTCCCAAATAGTACAGTAGCTTATTTGTACTTTATCCCTTAAACTTTATTCTTCCTATAAATAGGAAGCCCACTTTGCCTCATTTTCAGCAGAGATTTCAGACACCCAAACTAACACACTTCCCCCACTCACAGCGCAAAAAAATGTGAGCAAAGGAAAGAAAGTTCGTAAAGGCATTCATCTTTAACGTACAAATTAAATTAAAACCCATAGTAGAATTGCAGGCCGGGAGGACTTTCAGTTTGAGAGGAAGAGCTAGCAATGGATATGGAGATTGGAAGCAGCCGGGGACAAGATTTCAAAGGTGAGGACGACAGTAATTGTCCTGAACAGGCAGTTGAGGAGACTACTCTTGATTGGAGGGGCAGACCTTCCGATCCTGCAAAACATGGCGGAATCAGAGCTGCAGTCTTTGTTCTTGGTTAGTGTTTCTGATCTTCACCATTAACATTTGCTTTTTCGTGTTCCACTTGAGTCACGCCTATCTCTTACTCGATAAAAAGTCTAACCCAAAACTCTTTAGCATTTAATATTATTTCTCTATGTTGTCAATTATATTCTGTTTTTTTTTTTTTTTTAAGTGACGAAGAAACCCACAACCATTATCCGATTGTGTGTATAGTACTAGGCTTGTCACACCAATCACTATCTGAATGTATACACTAAGTCGGCCTTGTGAGCCCTTATCAACAAAGAATTACAAGAGAGTAGCTGACCAGTTTAAGTTGTCCCATAACTGATCAGTGACTTCCACCCGAAGTCGAAGTTGTAATCTTATAGTTACCAAGTCAATAATCTGACTGAGTTGTTTTTATATTCTGTTTTTTACTGGTTACGAGAGAACTCACAGGCACTACCCGAAAATCTCCATTGCATAATATATTATGTTTTTATTGATGGTGAATGAAGGGCTGCAAGGATTTGAGATAATGGGGATAGCGGCAGTGGGGAACAATCTGATAACGTATGTGATCAACGAGATGCACTTTTCACTGTCGGAATCAGCAAACATAGTGACCAACTTCATCGGAACTGTCTTCCTCTTAGCACTCCTCGGTGGTTACCTCTCCGACTCTTTTCTTGGCTGCTTTTGGACCGCCCTCATTTTTGCCTTTCTTGAACTTTCGGTATGTATGTATACCGCCCACTTTCCTTTCCTTGTCTCTTTATAATTCCTACCTATATTAAATCATGTCTACATTCATCTAATCATGGATTTGGCCGGTACTTACAAATAATTAATACCAAAATACTACCTGCATGTTTCATTGTGTTTGGTGTCAATTCTACACAGATAGATGTGAATTATAATGACATGTGGTTTATAAAGTTGTACGTTACATTATGTGTCTTTAACGTAACAAAGCATATGATATTTTTTTTAATAGTTGGCTAAAATTTTTATAAAGTTGTATACTTTGTAAAGTTATACTTTGTGCTCTACAAGTTATATCCTCTCCTATTTATATATAAGGTACAATTTTACAAAGTATACAACTTTTAAAATTTTCAATCAACTATTATATTGTATTTTGTGCTTTGTAAGTTGTACTCTTTCCTAAGTATAACTGTACAAAGCATAAGATACAACGAACTTTACAAGAGTATACAATTTTTGTAAAGTTTCCAGTCAACTATTACATCTTGTGATTTGCAAATTTTACTCTCTCCTATATATACCTACCTATGCAGTATGCAAAGCATAAGGTACAAGTTTACAAATCATACAGTTTTGTAAAATTTTCAGTTGACTACTGTACCTTGTGCTTTGTAAGTTGTACTCTCTCCTATATGTATCTCTATGCAAAGTATAAGGCTATGTGCAGTTTTACAAAATATACATGACATTATAACTCTTTTCTATAGTTGAATATATTACTTACAAATCGGTTGTGCATATATAATGCATGTGCATGATTGAAATAATTGATAGAGATTATTATTGATGATATGATGATTTAGGGTTTCATATTATTGTCGGTCCAAGCTCATCTTCCCCAGCTAAAGCCACCAAAATGCAACGTGGTGGTTGACGGCGGCGATGGATGCGAGGAGGCGAAGGGTTTGAAGGCACTCATATTCTATGTCGCACTCTACTTGGTGGCGCTTGGGAGTGGGTGTGTCAAACCTAACATGATCGCCCATGGCGCTGACCAGTTCGATCCGCAGCAAAACCCTAAGAAGCTCTCCACTTACTTCAATGCCGCCTACTTTGCCTTCTCCGTCGGCGAGCTCGTCGCCCTCACTCTCCTCGTCTGGGTTCAGACTCACTCCGGTATGGACGTCGGCTTCGGGATCTCCGCCGCCGCCATGGCGATGGGCTTGATCAGCTTGCTCTGCGGCACGGTTCTGTATAGGAACAAGCCCCCTCAAGGAAGCATTTTCACTCCAATTTCTCAGGTAATTAATCACTCAACTCAATCCAATTTAATTTAATTTGTTTTCTCTTCCTTTTCTTTCTCTTATTATTATTATTATTATTATAATATTGCATAATGGCATGGTTTGACTAGTTCTAATCCTGTGGTCTCCATTACTTAATTAATGAATGATTTGTAGCTATTAGCTGCTAGACAGACTAGAATCTCATATTTAATATTGGAAACTGATTTGATTCTGCTGCTTATCACTGCAATCTTGTTTGTTTTTGTCTTACATGACTTTTATACTCTTTTCATGATTGAGTTTAATACAGGTAATAATTACTTATATTTATTAATTTAATAATACCAATATAATAATACTGTAAAAAAATTTAGACGATAAGATCAGAGAAATTCACACCCACTATACCACTTGAGGATATACACTTATATATTACACAAAAGAGATAAATAACAGTAGAAAAATTATGTGATGAGACAGCTCAACCGAGAGAGAGTATTGACAAGAATCAAATTTGTGACTTTATAATAATATTGCAAATTTTGTCTTGTAGCTAGGAAAGAGCTCATCATTATTTTATTTTTTATATATATCAACTTTATAATAACAAATAAATATAAAAATAAAACAATTTTACTTATTATTATTATTTTATTTAATTAATTAATTATTTCATGTCAGGTTTTTGTGGCTGCATTTGTGAAAAGAAAAATGGAATTTCCTTCTGATCCGCGTATGCTTCACGGAAGCCACCGCACTCTTTCTCATCATCTTCATCACACTAATCGATTCAGGTATATATAATTGCAAAAAAAAAATAAAAATTAATTATTATTATATATACACACACATTTACGGAGTATATACTATGTAGACAGCTATGAATATTATTCTATCCTTAATTGAATATTAGTTTATATTATAATAAATTAAAGGTGGCCATAAAACTAAATTTTTTGAAAAATAATAATTTGTATGAAATTAATTAATATTATTATATTTGTGAATGCAGGTTGTTGGACAAGGCTTGTATCAAGCAGGTTGAAGATGGAACAAGCTCAAAGGAGAATCCATGGCGGCTCTGCACTGTAACCCAAGTGGAAAAAGTGAAAGTATTAATCTCAATGATTCCCATATTCGCCTGCACCATCATCTTCAACACCATTCTAGCACAGCTCCAAACATTCTCAGTCCAACAAGGATCCGCCATGAACACAAACCTCAATTCCTTCAAAATCCCCCCTGCTTCCCTGCAAGCCATTCCCTACATGATGCTCATCTTCATCGTCCCTCTCTACGACGCCGTTTTCGTCCCCTTCGCCCGCAAACTCACCGCCCACCCCTCCGGCATCTCCCCTCTCCTCCGCATCGGCCTCGGCCTCTTCACCGCCACTTTCTCCATGGTATCCGCCGCCGTCACCGAGAACAAGAGGAGAACGGCCGCCGTGAAATCCGGCGAGATTCTCTCCATCTTCTGGATCGCTCCCCAGTTCCTCATCTTCGGATTCTCCGAAATGCTCACCGCCGTCGGATTAATCGAGTTCTTCTACAAACAATCTACGAAAGGCATGCAGACATTCGGGACCGCCATGACCTACTGTTCATACTCCTTCGGTTTCTACTTAAGCTCAGTTCTTGTATCCATGGTGAACAAGATAACTTCTTCTCTTTCTGGTTCGAAACGGAAAGGGTGGCTAAGCGATAATAATCTGAATAACGACAGGCTTGATCTGTTCTACTGGCTGCTAGCGGGGATGAGTTTCCTTAATTTCCTGAATTATGTGTTCTGGGCTAGATGGTTTTCCAGAAACCGGTCGTCTTCGTCGCCGGAACAGCAAAGCTTTGGTACTACAAAGGTGGTCGGAGATGATAGTATTAGTGTAGCTTGAAGTAAGAGTACAGTAATGTTATATCATGTTTTATTAGTTGAGGTGATAGTATAGAATCATAAAATTGTTCGTACAGGAAAGGGAGATTATATATATGTAATTTCGTGGCAGATTTACTATATATGTATATATAGGTTTCTCGAGCTTTTTATGAACATGATGATACATACACTTCTCCCATATGATACTCGGAAGTCGGAATTCATGTGTGATTTGCAAATTATTACAATACAAAAGAGCGGGGTTTATTCAATGCGCATATAATGTACTTGAATAGTGAATGCAAGTTTCCGCTGTCACTTCAAAGTAAACTCTGTACATGTTCATTTCTAATATAGGGAACAAAACAAAGTAGCGGAGGCTTTAGCCAACCGAGCTTTCTTGCGGGATAAAAAAAAATGACGGATTTATATAATTTATAAGGACTCCTTACCATATTGCCTTAAAGACTAGGCTGACTAGTGAAGGAAGTAAATATTGAAATGTGTCTTAACTAACCTATATAGATCAGACCATAAAATGCTTGTACGCTGCGCTAGTGCCTACAAAGTAGCCAATTAAATTCATACCTCTCTTTTTTAGTCCTTAATAGAATTTGAACGCTACACCCTACAATAACTAGTAACAATGTAAAACTTCAATTCTCAACTTATTTTCGCTTAGTATATATCTATATGTATGTATATATAAAGGTGAGTGGTTGGAGGAAGCTTTTGAAATTGGTGGGCAAAAGGAGTTTGGGCAGGAAACCAAATTTAAGATTCAGTGAATGTTGTTACAATACATCAATTAATGTCGTCGTCAATCCTTGATGACACAAAAGAATTTAGTATATCTCTCTATCCACTTTATGAAATCTTTAGGGAATATTAGAAAATGCATGCATGGATGTCAACAAACTCAACATAGTGTGTTTGCTTTTTTACTTGAAACAAGCTAATAAGGTTTTTTCCTTTTAAAGATATGATGATTTGGTGAAGAGAACAAAGAATTATGGAGCAATTAGTAGGGTCAATCCAATTAAGTTCATCGGGTTTTAGACGAAATTTGATCCCTCATTATCAATATTCAATCATCAAATCAAATTTAACACTACATTTATCGATCTAATCCAATTTAATTTGTTTTGTTAGGTCTTTTCGTCGCTTTTTTTTTTTTTCTTGCATAATTTGAAACGCGTATTGTGTCAGTCTAATCACTCTTTGCAATGGATTATTAGGAAACAAATTAATGTGTATAAAAAAAAAAAAAACTATTATTTTGTCCATTTGTAGCTATTATTTGTTTATTTCCGATCATGTTTGTATTATGCAGTTGAAATGTTTATCTTAACATGTCATGATGCGCCTAGGTGTACATAATGTTCACACAAAATTTATTAGTGGTTAATAATAATAATAATAATAATAATAATAACTACTGCAACAGTGTCCCATGATCATGGTTGTATCACTGCACTGAATTTGAAAGAAGTTAGAGCATGCCTCAAACATGTTTGGCTGTAAAAGGCTATATATACCCACATTCTTTTCTCTTTTAATTTCCCCTTTTGAAGAGTTGGAATGTTGGATAAAATACTAGCATGGGCACAGTAAAACTTTTCTTGTTAGCTTTTTATTTTTTAATGCATTTAATTTACCTGCCATAAAGCTCAAGTTGCTAGACAAAATTCTAAGTTATCGGTACACTTTCGGTGTATTTTATGTATATGATTTTAAAGTGATCTACAATTTGATTTTTTTATAAGATTAAATTTAATATTAGTACATAAATTATATGTATTTAAAAATTGCATTAAAAGTAAAGATAAAATAAGATTAGAAGAAATATTTGTTACGAAGTATTAGCTATTGTTCCCTTATAGTCCCTATCTAAGAGAATAATAGCGAATCGGCCAACTAAGCAACCTAGTCGGGTCCCTATTTAAGGGAATAATAGCTAATCGGCCGACTAAGCGATCTGGTCGGGTGCTTAGGCGGCCTAGTCGGTCCCTAGAAAGCTTGCTAGGCGGCAAAGGCAGTGCCTAAACAATCTAGTCGGCCGCTTAGACCACCGATTATGGTGATACACTAGGCGGTCGTGCAGTGCCTAGGTGCCAATTAATCCGTGTCTTTTGCGGGATTTTTGCAACATTGCATAAAACTAATATGCAACATCAATTGCACACTAAAATCCTAGAATGCAAATACAGTAGCAGAACCAGGGGACTATATATATATATATATATATATATATATATATATATATATATATATATATATATATATATATATATCAAATTTTCAAGGAAACAACCATGTTCTTAAATCTAAACTTCATTATCAACATCCATTTGTGCTTCCAGTGACAGCCTAGATAGATGGAAACTCAACAGAACAAATACAAGATGAGACAGAAGAAAGGACGATTTGGCTTGGTTCAGCCTGCTTCTGAAGAGTGTTTTAGTTAAGATTAAGATTGCCATTCAACCAATGGAAGGGGACATGGCTTACACCTACTCTTCGGATCCCTCGATGTTGGCACCTTTCAGATGCAAATGCTTCTCCCGCTTCTGAAAATCTGTCAGGCCTTTCCCACTTCCCGTTACACCAACCTTCCCAGTAGGATCATCGGGGGACTTGAAGATGCTTTCCCGCTTTCGACCCGAGAAGAAACCAACCTGGAAGGTAAAAAAAAGTTAGGGAACATAATGATGAAAAAGGAGATGATTGCAGGACTACCTTCTTAGTTTGGCCTTTAGTTGACTGAAATTGTTGCCAAGCATTTTGCCTCTTGTTTTGGGCAACCTCAAGCTTCTCTATCCGCATTTTAGATTTAAAGGCGTGAATCTTCTTTTTCTTTGCAGCTTTCTGAAAAGAATATGAGGTAGATAATGACTTGAGAATTGGGACAGTGCATAGAAAAATCATGAACAAAGCACAGACTTTACTACTCATCAACCAATACTCATATCATTGCCGTATGCCAATGATACTTATCAAAAAAAAGGTCAATGACCTGAATAGAAACTTTAAATCAGAAAATAGAAACTTTAAATTCAACATACCACATCTTCAGGATCATTAGGTTCGATGCGGAGCTTTGCTGGTAGACTCTTAGACTGGTAATCAATGACGGCAGCCTGAGCAATCTTCCGCTTCAAAGCCTGTCTTGTGGCCTCGGCAACCTTTTCAGCTTCAAGCAAGGGATTGACATCTCCTTGGATTGGCCTAATATTAGCAGGATCTACCTGCAATTGCCAATAATTTATAGATGAATATAAAAGAACTTATTCATCAAAGGAAAATGATAGATCATAAGTTATTACTTATTAGAGAAACTGTTGTACAGCTTGTCAAAAGGGAGCCAGGATTAACCAACATATACTTGAGAGCATGTACACAAACACACAGGTATTATACTACCCTCCATCCAAATTAAGAAGTCCCCCACTTCCCCATTTTTATTCACTAGTTTATTTTATTTTGGAAGTAGAGTTGACCTGAAAAGTTAGACAGCAGAAAAGCATTTTGCTAAATCATAAGCTGGCACATAGGCATACCTCTTCCTTATTTCCCCACACGTCATAGGTAACATAATAGCCATTTGGAGTATGTGCCTCGATGGTTCCTTCGTACCTGAACATTCAACTAATTAACCACAGAAAAAACATAGATGGTAAAGAAAAATGAAGAGAATCTGAAATCAAGAAGGTGGACAATCAATCAAAGAGATTCTGCGTACCACTCTCCATCCTCACTCCAAACAGCTTGTACTTTAGTGCCAACAGGAAACTTATCAGTCTGAGCAAATGAAGACGTAGATTCCTGAGAAGCATGGGTCTTGTATATATTAAAAGAGTAAACATGAAAGAAAACTGAAACAAAGTTACACCCACTGAAATACAGAAATTAATGTCAAATACTGATCTAGAAAGAGATCAATTCTTTAAGTCAAGCATAAGCAGCTTAGTTTCAGAATAAGTTGCAAAAGTGAAATCTTGCACTAGAAATGTATTAAGAAGAACAAAAACAGAAGCAATAAAACAAAAACAAAACAGAAAAGCATATATTTAATTATGTTTCCAAGTCATCCTTTCCCCAGGGAATTATGAGCTCACAAACAATCTCATCTTTTCTATTAAGAAACCCACCGAAGTGCTCCCTAGATGGCCAAGATCATAAGATGCATCAGCACTGTCCCCAGTACCCAGTCCAACATCTTCATTTTGTTTAGCAGTTGCAAGGAGCTCTTCTGTCAAAGCAATAACCTGGCATTCACGGAAAATTAGCAATTTAGCAGGGTCCAAATTAAGTAGGAAATTATTTGCATTTTTCAGAAAATTAGATCTGTAAATCTTTATCAAATTTTAAACTTAGTTTCTCAGAGGACGTCAGAAATCACGAGATAGAGGCAGGCTGGCCATCATGACATTGCAGACCTGCAATGGAATGAAGAGACAAGTGATGGACACCTTGAGGTTCTCTTGGTTTAAAATCTTACAAAATCACCACTTTTCATTACCATGTGGGTTAATTCACTCTAACTAAATAAAAATCTCACCTTTTCAGACCCAAGAGTAAAATTATGTTTCCTCAGTCATTGGTATTCCTTCACACTGCTTGTTTTGCGGCAATATAATTTTTGTGTGAGAGAGAGAAAGAAAGATATATATGAGATCACATACCAGATAAATTAAGGATTACCTATTATTAGGATTTGTTCATTTGTAGTATGTGGATATTCAAATACTTACAAGAAAGAGTAAATGCTAGTATACATGTGATGAGCTCAAGGGCTCAATAGATAAACAATTCAAGCGATGAAAACACAAAAGCATTCATTGCAGCCCAAAGAGAAACAGTAGAGTAAAAATGACCAAACAAGTCACCTCGACAAGTTCCTTCTCCATGTCCAAATATTCAGAGTTGCCATGGTCATCATTTAATAGTGCGCGAACCTGATTCAAAAGAAAACAAAGTGTCAAAATGAATGCACATAAATTGCATAGTCAAGAAAAAGAAACAAATCTATACCAAAAATAAAAATAAAAATAAAACTAGGAACCCAAGAGATTTTTAGTGCTGCTAAATTATAGCATCTATAGAGATAAGTGATTCTTTGATCAATGTAACAGTGTACCACTTAAGGACTTAACCCACCACCATTCTAACTCAACCACACAAAAGGAAAGAAATTTTTGTGGAAGTTATCAAATATATTCCAGATGCAAAGATATTGATATAAACTTCAGTTTTTAAAAAACTAGGTTGTCAAACATTCATAGACACTAGACTCACAAAAATCAGACATCACACAGCAGAATTGGCACTCACCAGCGAACAGATGAACATCATAATAATATTTAATACCTAATAGAACAGCATACGATATGGCCACAGAGTTAAGGACAAACTTAAACCGGGTGAAGAGCCTAAATGTTATCTCTTATGCTATGAAACACACTAGACTCTAGTCCATCTCCCAATAAAATAGTGAGCTAATACCCTTCTGCCACTGCTTCCGTCAAGGATAAGTTCTCCAAAACAATTCCCCTCAAGTAATTTTCCCTAACTAATACAATCCCAAATTCCCAACGTCTTTACCTAGCAACTTAATCACAACCAATTCAAAAGTGCATCAATGCATAAAAGATAACAATTTTGCAAACTAACGAAACAAAAGTTAATTCAACAACTCCAAACACTAAATAAACTAAGCCAATCACACAAACTAACATCTACAAGTGAATTCACGTGAACAGAATCCTACTGATTCAAACGAAATTAACAAACAATATTCAGACACTTCATCAGAACAGTAAAAAAGCTACGAATTTGAGCTACAAAGAAGCCTTAAAATTTGAAGCAGTAAAGGAACAATTTTGCACCTGTTGAAGCTGTTCTCTGTAAGTAGATAGATTCGAAGCCAATTCTTCAATGCTAACCTCTTCGCCTCCGCTTTGCATCTTTAACAAAATCCTTTATATTTCTCTTCGGCAAAATTTCTTCGAATTCGACAGAGATTGATTGAAGGTCTGAACGAGTATTCTTTGCGTTGGAACGATTGCGCGAGGAGGGAAACAAAAAACCCTCGTATCCAGTAGCGAAAGATTTTTTAGGCCTGTATGTATCGGCGTGTATTTTATAAAATTGATGGAAAGACCCTCAACTCTTGATATTTTTCACATTGCCCCATACTTCTTTTTGTTAGGTGACAAGAAAGCTGGTTATGCTTAGGGATTGGACTACAAGATTAAGTAAACATCGGTCTTGTATAATAGTTTGTAAATAATATAGGAGAGGTAAATCATATAATAACGTGCTATTTGATTTTAAAAATACAAATAAAGAGAATATATTATGTATTAGAATTCTAACCGCAATAGAATAAGAAATGAATAGAATATTAATATTATTCTAATGTTTGATTAATAAGGAAAATAAACATAAGATTATATAAGGAATCATATTCTTATGTTTAATTGGACCATGGATTAGAAAAAATATATATAATTTAAATAATAAAAATATCCCTATTTAAAATAAAACACATATAAATATATACATATTTACCAACCATAAAACAACAAAATACAAAACATAATAAAAATAAAAAATATTATATTATTTCAAAAACAATTCTAATATCATAATCCATGGTTGGCATGAGTAGCTGTGCACTCTCATTCCTTAAAAGAGGTCGGGAGTTCAAATCCCTCCTCATATGAAAAAATCAAAGTGACCAATACTTTGCCTCTTACTTGAATCCGGCTTGAAGGTGCCGATGTGACCAAAATGTATTTTTTTTTTAAGAAAACAACTATCTTTCTAAACTAGATTTTTCCACTTTCGTTCACACACCTTTCTATGACACATTGACACTATGATGTGCTAATATATATATATATATATATATATATATATATATATATATATATATATATATGGTCATAGGAACATGTTTAAGTATAAAAGTGTCTCATTTATTTATCTGGATTGTTCAAATTTCGTTATTAAAGTGGTACATTTAGAAACACAATTGATAGTATATAGTTCCGTAATTGCAGTGGTACATTTAAAAATACAATTGATAGTATATACTCCGTAACTAATAGTGCGCAAACACACAAATATATAATTATAAATCATGATTGTATTATCTTATTTGCATAGTATTTTCAAATACACAATTGCAATAATTGAAACATCATTGCATTTTCCCCTTAATTTCCAGCCCTTGGTTAACCCAAATTGACAGATAAGATTAATTTGCACTTTTTACCTGAGTCACATGTTAATAATTTTTACTAGTAAGCATATTGTGAGCATAATGTGTTAAGCATTAAAGTATGAAACTATGCAAGAGCTACATAATCAAAGAGATAACTGAGATGAATATTCTGTATTAAAAGGAAGCTTCAGTCTTCAGACATGAAATATGAACCAAACATTCTATGAAGCTTCAGACATGAAATATGAACTTTCTGGGAAGCTTCAAAGCAAATGTCATAAAGAAACAAACATATCAATTGATTTGAGCAGTTTTAACATAATTGAACCCTTTTATCTGTCTGAACAATGATCAGATCTACAGGGGAATAATGCAGGGTTAAGATGAATACCAACTAGAACTAGCAATTATTGGCTAAATTTGAGTTCATGCTTTTTCTTTTTCCAGTTGTTGTATACAGAATCTCATTCTGCCTTCTGTAAGGCTTCAATGAATGCATCCTTGACTAGAGGGTTCGAGGCGGCTACTCGTTGAGCTGTGATATCGAAATCTTTCCCGGACCTAATGCGGGCAAAAGAAGAAAAAAACCAGTCATATTCAAGCGTGCGTTTTTCTTGATTTTACAGTTTCCAAGAAATAGCTTAAAAGGTACGCAAGGAATGAAGTTTTGGTACTCACGGATCGAATAGAACGCCTCCAGCTTCTTTTACAATCACAGCGCCACCTGCCACGTCCCTGAACAGAGAAGTTCAACGTCAATATTACTGAATCTTCGTTATAGCAAACTCAAACTCAAACTCAGTATTCTGAAGTTGTTTGAAATCCTACCAAGGGCCTCCGAATCCAAGTTCATAGAAAAGGTCGAGCCTTCCGCAGGCAATACCACAGAGATTCAGTGCACACGAACCACTCATTCGAATGGACCTGACCTGATCACATAAGGGACTAAACGAATTAACGATCATCCTCTATGCACGCTTGTATGCAACTTCATCTGCCTTTATCAACCAAGGTTGAAAAAATCGCTAGGCGCCTGGGGACCGCCTAGGGCGCCTAGAGCGATTAATCGGCGCCTAGAGCACCTAGGCGGGCGCCTAGAGCGCCTAGGTGGCCGACCGCCTAGCGCCTAGGTGCCGTAATCGGCGCCTAGGCCCGATTTTTGCAACACTGAATATCAACAGATAGCTTACCTTGGCAAGCAAAGCATTGATTTTGTTTGTACAAGAATCCAGATTTAACTTATCGCGCTTTGTTCCAGCCTACTCCAGTTAAAATAAAACTTGCTTAGCTTCTCCATGTTATCTCCAAACGAAAAATGTGAAAAGTACCAAGAGCATAATTTCTAGATATCCCGAAACTTAAGCAAGTAATAATCAAATCTTAATATGCATGAGCAGAAGCTAGGAAGTAAATCGATATAGCGAGATCACTACATACCTCTGTAGCAAGGAGGGACTTCACAAGTTCAGACTGAGAAGACACTGCAGATATTTAAACATCAAAGGAACTTCTCAGATCATAGCATTTATATGCAATCAAAATCGACTGGATTAACAAGAGATGTAGACTTGCCTTTGATAGGGTTGCCATTAAGAAAAGCACCTTTCCCATGGACGCCGGTGAAAAGCTACACGTTAAAAGCCAGGACATTTTAGTTTGGCATAGAATCGAATTACAGAGTATTACTATAATTCAATCATTGGTCTTAATCCCAAATCAGTCAATGCATCCAGTGCAGATGGGTGAAGAAGTATGAATCAGGAGGGAAAGACGACATGACACAAGTGCAGAGGATATGTGAGATCACAAAACATGCTAAGAAGCTTATGGGTATCTTAGTACTATAATAGTGACGGGGAACAAAAGATTAGGGCTCTGTTTGGTAAATGGTTGTTAGCTGATAGCTGATTGTGTTAATTAGAGGGTATAACTAGTTGATAACATTAGCTGTTGTAGAAAAGTATTTGGTAAATTAGTTGTTAGTTGATAGTTGTTTGGTATAATTTCTTTTCTCAAAAAGCTAACTGAAAAAGTTGCTTGGAGTAGCTTTTTGAATTTTAGCATTTTGGAGTTGCAAAAAGCTAATTAACCAAATACTTATATTGATATTTTAACCAAATCAAACAATTAACAGTGATCAAATAAGCTAAAATTGACCTATAGGCCATTTTTTTACCAAACAGGGCCTAGGTGTGTGGAACATCATATGTCTCACCTCGTTCATAATTGGGTTGTAGACAACGCCAACTGTTGGAATTTTCCCAATTGTGAGACCAATAGAGACACACACAAATGGGAACCTACAAGTAAACCACATTTCAACAACAAACGGTGTCATTCACATGTTGTATTAGAAAAAGGTGAGTGCCCCAAAACGTTAGAGAGAGAATATCGGGCCTACCCATGGACAAAGTTAGTCGTTCCATCAAGAGGATCAACTATCCATGTAGGTTCATCAGTCAGCTCAGAGACTCCACAAGCTGCAGTTGTTTCTTCTCCAATGAACTAAAGTGAAGAGATTATAAGAAAAACCACGATTAAGGGGCAAAAGTTCAAAGGTACATATCATTAGCATAATTATAACTGCCTCTAGTAACCGAAGAATGCTTTATACTCCATATAACTCTAACACAAAAGTAAAGGGATAAAACCTTGTGGGTAGGGAAGTGTTTCTTGAGATGATTGAATATGAGGTCTTCACATGCCTTGTCAGTCTCAGTGACCAAATCCACCTATATTTGAACACATAACATCATAGTTATTACTGGAAATTAATTTTATAGTTCAGACTCTCTAAGTTTAAACATTTGAGACATACAAACCTCATTGGTCCACACAATGCATCAGAGCTTCTTAAAACACGAAAATAAAAATCTCTTTAAGTCCATATTTCAGACCATTTTACATACGTTTAAACAATCAACTAACTAAAGCTGTACATCACACATTCACACTTAGAGAATCTAAGAATCTTTGTTCATGAATCATCAATCACAATAGCTTCCTCATTAATCATAATCAACAGAATCCCAATTTTATTTGACTAAATAAGAAAGAAATACAGATACCATACAGCTCATTTCAGTCAAGAATTTCCCTGGGATGCAAATCTGATTTCAAAAACCAGAAATACAATTATGAATAGAAATGCAAATGAGATGAATATACCGTGCCCTTGTGCTCCACGTGCTTAGTCTGGTAGAAACCATTTCGTATAACCTGTAATCCAGGAAACGCAGACCAGTCAAAATTGGAAACTAAACAAATCAAATCTTTGTAGAAATGGGAATGAAGATTGATCAAGAGAGAGAGAGAGAACAAAAACGTGAAGTGAAGCAGTGAAAAAGCAATTGAATAGGGGGTGAGATTTGAAAATGTGATTCACCTCCCCAGCTTGCTTAGCTGCATCAACTGCCACTGCCAAGAACTCTTCTACTGAAACTGAAACAGATTAATATCATATGTAATAAGAATTCAACATCCATACACGCCGAGAAAACGTTATATATGTCAAAAGATTGAAGCTTGCGGTGATGGGGCCTTACCAGAATCTGCCATTTTTGGGATATTAAATTCTGGGTGGAGAAGATGACGGGGAGATGGCTAAAAAAGGTTTTCTTGGTCTCCTTCTTATACTGCAACAGCTTTACATACCACAGGAAAGAAATCAAGAATGGAGGAAGTTACTAGTCCGTACTAAGATCTATCTTGACCTAAATGCCCCTAGATTTACATAGACAATGGAATTTCATTCCACACACCCTCAAAAGGAAAGTCTCTAACCCCATAGATACAAAATTGTGAATGAAAAAATAAATAGTAACTTAAGCTTAACTAACATACTTTTAGGTGAGGATCCGGTGTCACAAAGAATCTGCTCACTTTGAACATAATTTTATACTGTTGTCATCAAGGTTCGAACTTTGATCTCTTCTTTCAAATATTGCTCACTGAACTATTGAACTAAATCCGTGTTCAATTTTTTACCCGCCCGTGCTCAATTTTTCACCATCAGTTTGATCTCTTCTTCAACTTTGATCTCTTTTCGTTCCATTTAGGTTGTTGGCTTGATTATGAAGCTTGCATCGGACCTAGCTATTTGAAATTCCATTCCATCTAGGTTGTTAGCTTGATTGTGAAGCTTACATCAAACAATAGGCATCATCTTATACGTATCAAACTTGAAGTTTGATGATTATTAAAACAAATTCAATTAGGATTACCCTATGTCTTAATATGTTTTGTTTTAACCAAAAAAATCTCTTAATTCGATCCTTTCAATATGCACGTGGATCATATTATATTGTGGGATCATTCTATAAGTATTCATTGTTAAGACAAAGATTAATGGAAGGAAATATGCTAAAAGTTGGCAATTGGCATCAATTTTAGGAGAGAAGATCGCAGAGGGCAATGTGGTAATTGGAGCAAATGGACATTCCATGGAATATGCCGATGCAGATTCCTTCTGGGTTCTTCTGTGATTGATGGTGAAAGTGTTTCTGTATGTGGGTTCCTTGTTGCGGCTGTACGTCCAGGAAAGAGCAAATTGTGTCATGAAAAAATAGTGACAAAAATAGAATGAAACTAGATTGGTCCAATGTCTTTTAAGACTATAAAAATGGAAACTTTATTTTATAATCCGTGATACACTAAATTGGTTCATATATGATATTTGAACATTCACTTGAACACTTTTCATTAAAATATCCAATACAATCAGACATACCGTGCGTAATTTATACTTGTACGGACAATATTTAATGCAATCAAACATATTAAGCGTGATTTGTACTTGATACAAAATGCACTGGTACAGATCAGCATTCTAAACTAAGATAATTTAGAGTATATTGAGACTAGATAGTTATAGAATTTGTTTAATAAATAATATGATAGGGAGGAAATAATATTTTCCAAATCTACCAAACAAGGTCCAATAGCATGTAAAATCCGCGAGTAAAAGCTCACTTAAGAGATTATTGCCCCGACCCCTTGAAGAGGGTTTCTCACGGAGACGAGTAAATACATTTTGGTTATAAAGAAAAGGATAAGTAAACCAAAAAAAAAAAGAGATGAAGATCTTAAATCTGTGTATAGAAAAAGGGGGGGTGCTTTTGTGGAGATTACAGTGAATATTTGCAGAATGTTGGGGACCCAGAGGAAAATCAATGGAGAGAGCAAGCTGGGATTGATTTCGATTACGCCATTGGCAGGCGGCTCAAAGAAGTAACAAAAGCGGTGCTCATGGGAGCTCCTTGGGTTCAAGGGCCGCGATTTCTTTTACAACTTGAGCTTTGTCTGCCTCAAACTGCTCGTCCTCTGCAAAACACGACAACAAGAATGAGAAATGAGCCGAGACTGTTTTGAATAATGTTTGTGCGTGTTCTATCAGTTTTTTTTTTTTTTTTTTGCTTTCCCACCTTTATCGGTCTTAAAATCTGCGAAGAGGCGTAGAAGCTTGCTTCTGTTTGCAACGAGGATGCCAACAATGTCTGGAGGCTTATTCTGATTGGCAGCAAATAACTGCAAAAAGGTTGAATTGTTTCGGTAAGAGAGTGCCCGAAGCTTTCAGTCACACAAAACACTGCACTAAACCTAACCATGTTATTGAAGACTAGATGGCAGGCATACCTTAAAAACATGAAATGCTTCAATCTGAATGCTCTTGCTCGATTCCTGTGAAATGAGGGTTTGACAGAATAACATATAGATTTGTGAAATCAGTAAAATGTTGGTTTAGAAAAACCCGGTCCTACTCGCAAATAAATACCTAATGAATTTCAAGTTGAAAACGAAGAGTGGGGAGCAGATGCAAAAGAATAAAATGTCCAATTCATGGGGGAGTGGAATACAACGGTAGCAACATACCCTGAGAAGATTCATCAGAATTCTCAAGTTGTCTCTTGAGCTAACATATCGTGTCATTACTGCAGAATTAGATCGGTCCAGCAGAATATCCCCCAATAACTGCAAGAATAAAGACTTAAATCTCACAGACAACAAACCTGCAACTGCTTCCCATTCTTAAGTGGTCTAAAGTAGGTGGGGGGGGGGGGGGGGGGTAATAAAAATAATAATAATAATAATAATAATAAAGAGCTAAAAAAGTATAATAGTCATGAATAATTGACTGTTTTGCAACATTCATATTTTCTACTGAAGGCTATGTTTTAAAGGAAGTGATATCACCAAATGATACTTCATCGTCAACATTGCAAGGATTTCAATGGATACCAATATTCCAAATTTCTAAGATAATCTATATTTTGAAGAAAATATATGATTATGTATGTATGTACAAGGAAAAAAAAATCACTTACTTTTACAGCTTGTCTTCTGGTAATATAATTGGTAGATTCTAGCAGCTTTGAGTTATACTCTGCAAAAAACTAGAACCAGAACCATTGCAGGAAGCATCAGGCCATCAAGAGCCAGTAAACAAAAAAATAATACTCCATAGATAGGTAGTTCATTTTAATGATCCAAACAGAAAATTAAAAATTGCATCAGGCTTAATTTGGATAAAACCTTATCTACTGTTGAAATCACCAATGTGTATTTATTGTAGTATTTGGATAGACTTATGAAAAGAGCCTATAGCTTTCGAAAATTTGGTTTTGAGCTTATTTTCACAAGCTATTTTAATGATCTTTTCAGAATAAGCTGGACAGCTTGTTCAAAGGCCAGCTGAAAAGGCAAACGTTTGTTGAATAATGCTTACCATAAAAGCACTTGGTGGCTCCTTAAAAAAATTATTCTATCTTTGCCATTATAACATTTCAAATCTTTCAAATGTAACAGTTTATTTGCAGAAATAGACAGCATTGAGTTCATATTTGGTCTTTCTGATATCTGTACATATCATTAGACAAGTATAGCAAAATTCACTTACCCAATCATAGTTCTTGGAGAGAAACTCAGCTACTGTAGATTTATGTCTTGTCAACAGTTCCTATTCAAATTTAAACCATTGAATGAGATTACTGATATAGGAAACTAAAAATTGAAGAGCACCGGCGTCACATACATTGAAGGACATCTAGGGATCTAAGCGAGTCAAACTACTCGGGTTTGATTCGATAAATGTTCAAATTCAATACGGTTACTACTATTGAGTTGAGCTTGAGTAGTTCTAGACTTCTAGTAATGAATTGACCCAAATCCAAGCACCTTAATACTTGGCTCAAGCAACTCACAAGTCTAATCGAGCTTTTTTATTTCTCATATATTTTTTATATAATAATAATATAAATAGAAGATTACATATTTAGCTAATGTATTTATATATTATAAAATGGCTATAATCAAGATGTAATACTAAGCTTTTAATGAAATTTGGTTGTAAAATGCTTTGTTTTTATAATTGTAAAAAAAAATCTTTATTCAAGTCGAGCTCGTACTCAAAAAATTAGAGCTTGGTTGAACTCGGAGCTTTGACTATTTGGCCTTGGCTCAGCTCAATTATACCCTTAAGGACATCAAGTCATAAGATTAGCTTCTTAACCAAAAAAATTGAAGTCCGTTTTGACCTTTGCATCTCATTTCCTACTGTTGTTAAATCTGCTACTAGTGAAGAGCATACATAGTGATGATACAGACACATACACACACAAACATGTTTGGGGGGGGGGGGGGGGGGGGGTGGTATAGAAGTACCAAAAGCCTAAGCCCCTTCCAATGGTATTTCTTAAACTATGAGGTTTTGTTTTTTTTAAATACTATAGTCAAGAGCACTCAAACCTTGAAAGTTGCAGCGGCATCAGCTGCAATGTCAAAATTCGGAAGCTGTATATAATCAAAAAACTTCTTCATGTGCTGTGATTCCAAGACATACCTTTGACCCAGAAAAAAATTAGGTAAAGGACCACCATATTTCTTCAAACTATAATGATGCATAGGAAATAAAGAAACAAAAAAAAGGTCTTAAATGCATTCATGTTTCTCACTTGGCAACAATCTGATGGCGAATGCATTCCCTCAACATAGCACCATAATGCAGTGCCATGTCTGTATTATCATAACTGATTAACACAAAAAAAGAAAACCATGTAATCACCATTACACAGCCAAAAGAATTAAAGAAATATCAACATATCAGGTCTGCTACAACGTTCCCAAAATATCTCCAGTTGTAGCTTACCCTACTACCAATATATCCATCAGATCAATATTTGCTTCCAAGTAATCACAAGCAATCAACCGTGACTGAACTTGTTGCCTTTGCAGATTTGCAACTACTTGAGTAGCATCTTTACGGGTCTGCAAAAGTAAATAGTGTTTAAAGGTAGTAAATGGAACATATGACACAAAAGCAGTCAAGAATGAAGGAAAATACTATCTTTTTTTTAAAACAGGATGGACAAAGTGACAAACGGAGTATAGTAGACCCATGCGTGATTATAGTATGCACTAAGAAAAAATCTCATATATATTACCTCTAAATTCAACTTGGGAAGACAGCTAATCAGCAAGCGCAGCGTGTTCTCTCTAAAGAACTCCTGAGTCAACTGCGCACAAGCCTCTGCCACAGGCTCGGCTTCACTGTTCCCATAAAGAGTTTGCTTTAACTCCCGGATTAGCTTGCTCAATTCCATCATCTGCAAATAAGATATTCATTAGCAAGCTTGTAAATATAAGCAGCTATATCAGACATCTTTTAGCAACATCCTCATAACACTAAGATGGTGCCTGATCATAACGTGCTCCAAGTCAAACTAATACTCTTTAACAGGAAAGATTTTTACATTTGGGATAAACTAGCATTCACTTTAGTGGACATTGGCTGTATATGACATTTGATCCAATTAAATACTTTGAACATATCAGATTCATATCATTGATCTTATGGCATTTGATCCAGATCCAAAGTAATTAAATATATGGACTCCAAATAACCATCGCTTGTAATAGAATTAGATTCGTGATTTTAAAAAAAACGCAATATTCATACAGAGAGAACAGAATCGCACCTTTTCTTCTCGCTTGCTCTCGCGAACATCGGAAGAAGAGCCACGTTCGACATAGATGAGGAGTTCGCGAGTCTGGCGAACGAGGTCAACGGGAGTCCTAGGCTTGGACTTGAACAAAGCCTTCATCTTCGCGTCCCCGCCCCCGTTGCTGCCGGAAACACTATCCGGCAAGGGCAAAGCCCTGATGGGAGACGATAGTCTCCTGGAAACCGTCTTCGGACCCGCCGAGGCTTTTCGAGCCTCGGCTTGGGTCCCACCTGACAAGCAGCCTCCTATGTTTGCTGATCACCACTCCCCACTTGTGTGTATAAAATCTGTGGTTTGGTTACCGGGAAACTCTGAGTGAGTTGTGTCCCTCTCCTAGGGTTCCAAATTCCTGTGAATCAGCGGCCGGAGCAGTTGATCGTGACGACGATCGGATCTGTGGTTGTGTGGTGGGTCGGCCGAAAGGTTGGCAGTTTAAACTATAAAGCATATATATCACCTCCGAATCTCCGATAAATACTACTCGTATAGTCCGAATATGGATTTCGCCCGACGGGAAACCCGCAGAAAAATGTGTATGGGATAAATTTGATTCATTCTTTTTTTTTTTTTTTTTTTTTTGAAAAAGGTCAAATAATTTTATTTTTTTTTTATTTTTACCTAAAAACTCTTTTAATTCTGTTTGATAATCCTCATTATTTTGTTGATGTTCTTCTATTTAATGAATTAAGTTCTTATTCTCAAAAAAAAAAAATCAATTAAGTTTATAAACTTTTAAACGCAATTTAACATGTTATATTGAGACAATGAAGTCCAAAAATCGATAAATAACTTTCTATTACAAGTCATTTCGATTCCGACATCATCATCGGCGACGGCCGAACCGTTGTCCGTTTCCATCTACTAAAGAAGGCAACCAGTTGGTCAAGCTCATAAATGATTAATGAGGTTGATTTTGTCAAAATGTCTTTCATGAGGCTTTAATTGGGCGAAAAAAGGTGGTCAAGTACGTGAAACATGAGTGAGCATGACTCTCGTACCTAAATGTAATGCGTTTTACCTTTTTTTATGTGTGTGTTCTAGATTATTAGCGCAAATTATGCTGTGCAACCGGGTGCACTATGTATGGTGCACACGGTTGCAAAAACGACGTCGTTTTGACTAAAAACGCGCGTTCCACTTTAAAAAATAAAAAAATAAAAAATCAGGTTCGATTCCCGGCAATAGCATTTTTTTTTTGCATAATTTGAATTATATATCCACAAATTCATAACTATATATCCACAAGTTCATAACTATATATCCACAAATTCATAACTATATATCTACAGTGAATGAATAACACAAAATCCAGAATGGATGAACTAAATATCCACAATGAATGAACTAAATATCCATAATGAATGAATTAAATATCTACAATGAATGAACTAAATATCCATAAATTCATACTATATATCCACAAATTCATAACTATATATCCACAATAATTCATAACTATATATCCACAATAATGTTGTTGAGGGGAATCGAAACTGATTTTTTTTTTAAATGGGACACACGTTTTTAGTCAAAACGATATTGTTTTGCAACCGTGTGCACTATGCATGGTGCAGACGGTTACACAGCATAACTATTGAATTATTAGAGCATCATCACCCATGCATATTTCTCAGTTTTTAGAACACTAATTGAGTTTTTATCTGATGGAAGGTGTTGGTTTTAATGGTAGCTTTTTCTCCTGCCAACCCAAGTTTTTGGCAAGAAAAAAAAAAAGAAAAAAAAAACAACAAAAAGCGCCAGATGTGCGTTAGGCGCACCTCATCTTAAAAATGCTACATAGAACATTAAAATTAACCATTTACCTTCATCTTATAATATAGAACATTTTCTACCGTATAATTTGTCTATTGTTGGGCGACTTTTTTTTTGGTCATCATTTTATAGTAATTACGTTTTTCCTTTGTCTTTTATCTTTTCGTCCAGTTTTGTGAACATTGTTTGACTCGGAAACTACTCGTCCGTAGAATGGCATGAAAATAAAAAGGCTTTCACATTGGAAAAGAGGAAAGCAAGCTGTATACAACTTGCAAAAACAAATGTTACGGAGTAGAATCATAACCACGGTCAGGAAGGAAATTCAAAATGGATTCTAAGTTAGGACAGTTTGAAGTTGATCTTGTGATCTAGTGGTACGAAGTGACTATTCTAATTGGGAGATCTTGGATTCAAGCCTCAATATAAGAGGTGTCATGGGCTCAAGCCTCTACATAAAAGGTTTCCAACGATGTCATTCTCACGCCTCTCCGTGTTAAAAACACCCTATACATGTCGTCGTCATTCGACATACTTAACTAAAAAGGTGTTAGTAATAATACAAATATTGTTATTTAGTTTTATTTATACTATTTCTAAAATGACAACTATCATGTATTCATGTTCATTTCGAGTTATAATATCTCTAAATAGAAAGAGGTAGAACGACAAATATCACTATTTGTATAGTACTAGTTACAACACGCGCATTGCACGAATAGCCTGATGTTTAATGTGTATCATAATTTATCATATATAGTATCATTCGGTATCTTAGCGTATATCAATATAAGATTATATATTTTTTCATAACAGTAAATACTTTAAGAATGCATAACTATGATGTGTGGCAAAAATGTTGGATTAACTTTTGCAATAGCAATTTTAGAAAGAAGCACCCTCACTGGATAATACGCTAAGCATAGTTTTTGCAACACAACACCTTATTAATTGGCGTGATTCATGCTTCCTTTTGTTGTCACTTTCGCCATAAATGAATTATTTGTTTGATTTAGTCCCCTGGTGTGTTTCACTGCAATTTTAGTGCCTTGTCGCAATGCACTTTAAAAAACATAACCAAATCATGCTTCCTCAAAAATACAATGATAATAACATAATTTATCATATATGTTGAATATATACTGTAAATTACGTGTACCGTTTCATCGATTCCCAATGCATGATTCTAACTAATTGACTAAAGTTCATATTGAATTTTATATTGTATTTTTTAATATACTCTAACATATTTATAGTATATGTTTAATAATTATGTCAATTTTGATTGATATGAGGTTCGAACCTAATACTTTCCTTAAGAAAATCAACGATTAAGTTAACGGAATATTCCCTTACTAAAGTTTACACTGACGAAATACAAGGGTATTTAGGAAAAGTAAATGATATAATAAAGGGTAAAATAGGAAAATTAATAAAAATACTAAAATCAAAATAATATGAACCATTAATTTCAACGAACAATTACACAAGACAAATAATAAAAAAAATCACGAAAATCAAAATAATATGAATCATTAATTTCAACAAACAATTACATCAACATTTTTTTAGTTCTTGTTAGGGGCATAACTTGATTGACTCTTATTAGGTTTTTAGATTAGATGTAGTTGTAGATATCTCAATCGTAATTATTATTCCAAAAGGCTGAACCCCAACCCTAAAGGCCCCGCACACCCCGGCCCGACAGAGCATTTGGGATGATGTAAATCATGGTGACTCAACTGAACATGAACCATAGCTACATTATATCATTATATTACGTAGCTACATTTAAAACTCATTATTATATATGTCAATGTAGGGTAATAGAACATCGTGACACACTTGACACATCGAAAAGATTACGATACTACAGCAATGCTGCAATCAATCTTGCAAATCAAAAAAATGAAGTAATTTAAAAAATCGCCACCATTACAACATTCATTGATCTTGTATGTAAAATGCATATTGTGCATCCTTTAAATATATTAAAACTAATATAAATTTACAATTCATTTTATTTTATAGACTAAATCTGTTTGGATTAAATGCAAAATCAGCATAAACTTTGACAACACAAACACTTAGTATTCGGGCTACCTACAGAGTTATTGTTGTTGCTATCAAGTAAACAAGTTATGGAAATGAGCAAATACCAATTTTGGTCCCATGAGTATTAACAAAATGATAGTTGTAGTCCACATGTTTAATTCATACCAATTTTCATCCACGACTATTGTTTTAGTACCAATTTTCGTCCACGACTATTGTTTCAGTACCAATTTTCATCCACAACTATTATTTTAGTACCAATTTTCATCATCGACTATTGTTTTAGTGTCAAAATTCATCACGCCGGTCACCCTTTCGTTTAAGACATGCCGAAATATGAAATTATTAAGGGTATTTTCGTCCTTTTTAAATTAAGGTCCCGATTTGAACATGAATAAAAGGATTTAAGCCCTAAGATCCATTCCAATTCGCAATTCTCCTCCTCAAATTAAGGTAGGATGAGTATGATAACTGCGAGTTGTGATCGATCTTAGGGTTTAAACCCATTTACTCATGCTCAAATTGGGATTTTAAGTTGAAAATGACGAAAATACCCTTAAAATTTTTAAATTTCGGCATGTCTTAAACGGATGGGTTACTAGCGTGATGAATTTTGACACTAAAATAATAGTCGTGGATAAAAATTGGTACTAAAATAATAGTCGTGGATGAAAATTGGTAGGAATGAAACATGTGCACTAAAACTGTCATTTTGTTAATACTCATGGGATTAAAATTGATATTTGCTCTTATGGAAATAGAACAAGAGGTACTAATCATGAACCTTCTACAAATATAATAAATATTAATATTTTGTTCAATATTTTCACATGAGAATCTACGACATACATTTCATAGCACATGAAACATGTGGGAAAAAAATTACCACTGCCAAATATGAACATCTCCTATATTATCTTGTATTCATATATTTTAAAGTAATCATTGGACATTATTCTATTCGCCCAATAGTGAAAAACTAATCTCCAAATAAGAAGGGATAAAATGACAAATATCATTGTTGATTTTTATTTATAATATCCCCACATAGAAAAAAGATAGAACAAAAAATATCATTGTTTATTGTTATTTATAGTATTTAACGACAACTATTATTGTTCATTTCTATTTATAATATTTCTAAATACAAATTGATAGAATGACAAATTTCACTGTTAATCTCCATTATATCATATATCTAAATAGGAAAGAATATGTGTAACCTCAATCAAATTAATTAGATGTTTGACCCTGTAATTATAATGATACAAATTCGATTTTTCTAAACAGGGAGAAAGAGATATTTTTATTTATGATATTTTTAAAATATGAAGGAATAAAACAAAAAATATGATTATTTATTTGCATTTCTAAATCTAGTCTAAAAACATAATTAGTTTCAATTAAGGTTATATCATTGATGGAAAATATTTGGTGTACTCCCATTTTAAACTCCCAACTTGTACTTCATCTCACATGCTCTTAATGTAACATTTTTCTGTGGACCCACATGATGAAAATAATAAATCCTAATTTGCCACCTCAGGGAGTATAATTTTGGGAGTCTATGTAGTAGAACCCATCATTGATTTATGTCACTATTTTTGGATGCTAATAAATGTATACATTTTACTTTAAATGTTGTACATTTCAATGTTGACAATTTTGCTACTAAATGTCTAAACCCTCTGTGCAGAAAATTTCAGATTCTCATCCTAAATCGTGGGTTGCATATATTCTTCACCCCGTGATGACCAATCTGGTTTAGTCCGAACCAGCACAACAAGTTGCACCGATTCGGACCGCCCCAGGACTATCGGCAGCGCCTGAACATACTGCACAAGCACTGCCGGCAGCGCCTATTGCAACCGAGACAGCACAGCAGGCTGTCACGGTCGCTGCTACTCGCCCGTGCGGTCACCTAAGGGGCCACTCCACTCGCCCGAACATCCGCACACATGAAATGAAAACATGGAGTCGGTCTCGCGCACCTCCTACTGTTTTGACAGCTCAGGTTTGCACCACTAATCCCACTTGTTACACACAGACTGCCAAACACTTGGAATGACGCAAGGCCATTGATGAGGAATTTAATGCTCTGTTGCAAAATTAGACATGGTGTCTGGTTCCATCTAAACCTGATCAAAATGTAATTGGATGTAAATGAGCGTTTCGAACCAAGAGGAAAGCGGATGGTTCAATTAAGAGATACAAAGCAAGACTGGTAGCAAAATGATTTAATCAGGTTCACGGTCAAGACTTTTTTTGACACTTTCAGTTTGGTTGTAAAGCCTACCACAGTCGGGTTACTTCTTTATTTGGCTATATCTTCTGGTTGGACTGTGAGGCAGTTAGATGCTCATAATGCTTTCTTAATGGTAATTTGCATTAAACGGTTTACATGCAACAACCACTTGGATACACTAATGTTCAATTTCCTGATCATGTCTGTTTGTTGAAGAGATCTCTGTATGGGTTAAAACAAGCCCTAAGAGCTTGGTTTAACTGCCTTCATGATTTTTTGTTATCCGTTGATTTTCAGGCATAAAAAACGAATGTGTCACTATTTTATTACTCCCAGAACTCTACTTATGTTTTTTCTTCTTGTCTATGTTGACATTATAGTGATGGGCAGTGATCTAAATCTTGTGAATTATTTATTGTCAAGATTATCTACCGCTTTCAAAATCAGGGATCTTGGTGAACCAGGTTTCTTTCTTAGTATTGAAACCATTAAATGCAGTGATGGAATTCTTTTGTCTTAACAACGGTATATGATGGATATTTTAAAACGTGATGGTATGACTGATTGCAAACCTCTATCAACTCCAATACCTGTTTCGAAATCTCTTGTTACCTCTTCAGATTTGTATGATGATCCTACACAATATCGGAGTCTGGCTCGAGTTCTTCAATATCTTACTATCACCATACCAGATTTATCCTTTGCATTCAATCAACTTTGTCAACACATGCATTCTCCTACAGATACTCATTGGGGACAAGCCAAACGTGTGTTGAGATATGTCAATGGGACTCTATCTTATAGTTTACATATTCGAAAATCTGAGTTAAGAGAGTTATATGCATTCTCGGACTCAGACTGGGCTGGCTGCCATGATGATCGTAAGTCAACCAGTGGTTATGTTGTTTTTCATGGGTCGAATCTTGTATCTTGGGTATGCAAGAAGCAAAAAACTGTTGCAAGATCTTCTACGGAGGCCTATAAGGGTTTAGCTGATGTTTGTGCTGAGGTAATCTGGGTTCTCTCACTCTTACGTGAGATTGGCGTCACTGGGATTTCCATTCCAAAGCTATGGTGTGATAATCTTGGTGCTACATATCCGTGTGCTAATCCTATTTTTCACGCTCGCACTAAACATGTTGAAATTGACTATCATTTTGTGAGAGACAGAGTTGCCAAAGAAGAGATTCAAGTTGATCTTCACCAAAATCAACTTGCTAGGTTTTCTTTTCTTAGAGACTAGCTACAGGTCACATATATACCATGTACTTGGAGGGAAGTATTAGGACTCTTTGGGAGAAGATGACTATTATGACTCTATCTATGTATTTGAGTCTACTTATAGATTTTCAATCCTAGTCTTCACATAAGGGGAGTATTAAGACTCTATCGAGATGTATTTGAGTCCACTTATGATTCTCAAACTCCCGGGGAGTATTAAGACTCGTATTTGGATTTACTTATGATTCCCAATTCTAATCTCCATCGGTTATATATATATATATATATATATATATATATATATATATATATATATATATATATACACCTAAGTCATGTATTTTCATAAACTTATGATTCCCAATCCTAGCTACTATTGTATAATGTATATATACCTAGGTTATTTTCGTAATTATAACTATCAATACAATCAAATTACACTTCTGATCGTATTCTCATCGTGATTTCATCCCGCGGGAATCCAGACCTCATATCGTCATTTTCACCACCTGTTAGCGTACGATAGCTTCTCTTTCTTCCCATATGACATTTTGCGCACACTGCATTCGGGCTCACAGTGAATCGTCGTCGGGTTTCGACTCCATGGACTTGGGCGTGAGCGTTCCTTAAACCCTTTAACCTCCTTTCTACACCTCCTCCAAATGACATCTAACCTCGACGCCGACGCCGACGCCTCCACCGCCAAGCGCAAGCTGGATGAGTATTCCGATGACGCTTTCTCTGCCGAGTGTTTGATTCCCGCCGCCGTCAGGATGCGTAAGGACCAGGCTGGGCCCACCTCGGCGGCCGATTCCGCTCAGGTGTCCGACCTCCGCTCCTCCTCTGCCGCCGCTGTCTCCACCTCCCGATCATCGGCGTCCTCTGCGTTCGCTTCGTTTTCGCGGTTGCCCATGTTTTCCAGTCAGTTTCAATTCTTTGTCCGCCCGTTGTCTGGTGGGAGTACTCTAGTCCTCCGAGCCAATTCCGACGACTTAGTGGAATCAATCCACGATAAAATCTGTACCAGCACCAAAATTCCGGTGTACGAGCAACGGTTGATATACAAAGGGAAGCAACTTCAATGTGACCAGACGTTGGCCGAGTGCGGTATTCAGAACGACGCCATATTACAGCTTGTGGGACGGATGCGGAGCACGGACCACCCTCAGGCCTGGCAGTTCATAGATGACATGGTTTGGAAGATTTTTGAGCTCTGCAAGAGCAAAACTCTTCAACCCACCGGGTTCATAAAGACGATGCTTATGGAATTCATTGCAAAGATCCCAAGGGACTATGTTGATAAAGCCTCTGGATACCTACAAATCTTCCTCTCATCCGGTGCACCTGCGGCTCTGGTATTTCTTTATATGTCTCCAGTTATGCATTATAGAGATTGTGCAGAAGAATCTATTCGTACGTTTGTTATTTCAAGCAAGGCTAATTTGAATAAGCCTATGTACGTGCATTTTGCCCCTATAATCATAGATTTCTGTAAATTGTTGAATAGGGCTGTTGGTGTTAATGATCCTTTGTATAATCTTTGTCGGAGTAGCTTGGGGTCTATAATGGAGTCTGTTGGTAAGGATTTGATAAAAATCGAAGACATTTTGCCATTTCTTAGTGAATTAGCAAGCAAATTATCAGAAAATTTAGGGTTGAGTGCGCAGTCCAGTACTTTTATGGGGCCATCAGCAAATGAGGTGAATGATTTCATTGCCTTTATGCACCCAGTAAAGAATGTAATTGTGGTTGAAGTAACATGTGCTGGCCCTATCACTTTGCCATTGCGGGAGGGCACTTGTGATGGTGATCATGGGAAGCATTGTGCATCATACTACAGGGAGGAGATTAAACTGTTGCATTCCATTTTTGTTGATTTGCTGGAGAAAATGGAGCTCTGTTTAAGAAGAATGGAGGAACGATTAAGAGCAAGAGAGAAAGGAGAAGCTGAACCTTTTGTGATTGGATGGTGCCAGTATCTAGCTATTTTAAAAGAACTGAATGGTATCGCCAACCTTTTCAAGGGTGCAGATGAGCTATTTTGGGAGATGTTGAGGCAGAGAAAGGTTTCTTTGTGCTATCTTGTTGTTAGATTTGCAAAGAAGAGTGATGATCATAGCTGGATTATGAAGCACAAGGAAGTGACTAATTTTGAGGCAAGGAGGCATTTGGCTATGATGATGCTTCCTGAGGTGAAGGACGAGTATGATGAGCTGCATGAGATGCTCATTGACAGGTCCCTGCTGTTACGAGAGTCATTTGAATACATTTCACATGCAGACCCTGATGCTCTGCGTGGTGGTTTATTCATGGAATTTAAGAATGAAGAAGCTACAGGTCCAGGTGTTTTAAGGGAATGGTTTTTCTTGGTATGTCAATCAATATTCAATCCTCAAAATGCACTCTTTATAGCTTGCCCTAATGATTGTAGAAGGTTCTTTCCAAATCCAGGTACACACTGCATGTATTCCCTTAATGCCTTTTGTGTAACTAGATATCTTGTTAGAATTGTTTTCTGATTTTTATAAAATATATTAAAACATCTTGCTGATGTTGGAGGAGGAAAAAGTTTTGCAAATAGCAATGTGTTAAACGTCCTGTTATTTGTAAGCCTTTGTTTTTAATTTTTTAATTTATCCTTCTGTTAATCAAATAGTGTTATGCTGCTGAGCTTGACTTCCATGTAAATAATACTTCTTTAATGTCATTTTATTTGCAGCATCTTCTGTGAACCAATTGCATCTTGAGTATTTTAGATTTTCTGGCCGAGTGATTGCACTAGCATTGATGCATAAAATACAAGTTGGAATTGTCTTTGATCGTGCGTTCTTTTTACAATTGGCTGGAAACACGATTTCATTGGAAGATATTCAGGATGCAGATCCATTTTTATATAATAGCTGCAAGCAAATATTGGAGATGGATGCGGAATTAGTGGATCAAGATACTCTAGGTCTTACATTTGTCTCTGAAATTGAGGAATTGGGCTCCCGGAAGACTGTTGAACTTTGTCCCAATGGGAAAAGTACTGTTGTAGATAGTAAGAATAGAAAGCAATATGTTAATCATCTTATTCAGCACCGTTTTGTCACATCTATAGCAGAACAGGTAGCCCATTTTGCTAAAGGTTTTGCAGACATCATTAGTAACTTCAACCTTCAAAGATCATTCTTCCAGAACTTAGATCTTGAAGACCTTGACTCGATGCTTTATGGGAGTGAAACCTCTGTTTCTGTGGAAGACTGGAAAGCACATACTGATTATCATGGCTTCAAAGAGAGTGAACCTCAGATATCCTGGTTTTGGGAGGTATGTGAATGTGTTTCTTGTCTTTCTTCTTTTTTTCTCTTAGTTTTTTAAAGTGAAAAACAGTTTCCTCACATTTGAAGAACTATTTTTCTTTTTGATTTACATTTCATACAAAATTTCGTCTTTTATTTTTATACTCATAGTTAATCGTTAATGTGGTCATGTCTCTAAGAACCTGTTTACTTAGTCTTTCCTTGCAAATGAATCATCTCCTGCCTACATGCCCACACCATTTGACAACAGTATGTCATATACCTTCTCCTACTTGAATGGGTATTTTGGTAGTTGGTACTCATTTGAATATGTGTATTCAATGTTATATTACACTGGGAAAGAAGTGTGGTTGGATGAGAATGAGTCAATGAAGTCAAGCCTTATTGAGCTTTTGTCATATTTAGATTGCTTGAAAAATGAGTATAGAGTTTTCAGAAGCCACCCTTCTCCTATTACTCCTTTTGTATGCCCATATATTATTCATTATTGTTTAAATAAACCTTTATATTTTCACTATTTTTTTAAAAACAATTTCTTATAATTTTCAAATTCAGCTTTTTCTCTTGAATAAAACTTTTAATGTGGTTTTTGAATATATAAATTTCATTCACATAAATTAAATTAAATATTACAAAAAATTAAAATTTAAATGGCTTGAGTCAAGCCTAATTATCTCTGTTGTGCCATTCAGGGATGGAGGGAGTACAATTTTACCATAGATGTGAAAATTTGAACATGTCTTTAAGAGCCATCAGTAATATAATAATATTTGAACTTGATATGATACCTTGACATCCATTAATTGCCTTCTTGAAGTGAGAGCATATTCAGTCTAGTTGCTTTCTGATGCTGTTATTGTGTGATACTGAAAAGTGAGGCTTTAGCCGTTAGAAGAGTGAGTATTGTTTAGCTCTGATCTTTATTTGCATGTCTTTTTGTATAAAAACTTTAAATGAGAAATAATCCAGTATCCTAATTAAGTTTCTATGACTTGTACTTCATTCTGTTATACTACCTGTTCTCTAGTATCCATGTCAGATTTCATATGTATCTGATATGGGCTTGCCAAAATTTTGTAAGTTTCACTTTATTTTGGTGGGGATCCACCTGTGTTTCAAAGTATGGCAAGAGTAAATTGGTCCTTTGTGATTGGGGAGATAGTGAGGGCTTCAAGGCATCAAGCAATTGCTTATGTTAAGAAAAGGACAGTGCAAGCACACATCCTACTATTATAGATGTTCCTCTTTACCTTAGTGGTTTAGTCTTTCCTGGTTTATATCTATTTTTCACTGGGAGCTGTTGCAATTGTTTTCTTAGACTGACAACTTTAAGTGATTGGGCTGTCTCTATTTTCTCTATTGTCCTCCGAAACATTTATCACTAGCACTGCACAGATAAAATTGTTACAACGACACGATTTTGAAATGCGCTTTCTAGTTGGTTTTTCTCAGACTGACAACCTGGTTTTCATTCGTGCAGATTGTTGGGAAAATGACAGCAGAGCAGAGAAAAGTTCTTCTGTTTTTCTGGACTTCTGTAAAGTTTTTACCGGTAGAGGGTTTTAGAGGCCTGCCTTCTAGGCTTTACATCTACAGAAACTCTGAGCCATTTGATCGCTTGCCCTCCTCACACACATGCTTCTATCGCCTGTGCTTCCCTCGTTACCCGTCCATGGCTGTAATGCAAGATCGGTTTGACATCATCACTCAGGAGCATGTAGGCTGCAGCTTTGGCACATGGTAACCCTTGTGGTTTTAGGGATCAAATGATTCTTGATTGCACATAGATATGTACTCAGGTTGTATATTATATGGAACATATACATTATATTATATAGGATAATCTTAATCCATTTATTGAAACTTGAGCACTTGACTGTTGTAAAACTGTCATACCATTTTGTTTACCTTGATAAAATTTGTAGCATTTAGTGCCCTTTCCATTGACTTTTTATATAGGCTTAGTAGTCTATACACACACACACACAAAGTAAGAAGGATAACCTGGAGGGTGTGGTTGAGTGGAAGGGACTCTATCATCCTTAACCAAAGGTCAAGGGTTCGATCCTTGGCTTTGGATATGGAGCAACCTTAAATCTCCAGGCCAACGGTGGAAACTCTGGGCTACACCCAAAAAAAACATACACAAAGTAAGAAGGATTAAAATTTTCCATCTCCTAACAATCTTTTTGCTGTTTCAGTTCTCTTATTGTTTACACTCATATATAGTAATGTGATAAATATCCTCAGACCTTTGCAATGTAACAGGTCCTCTTTAGCTACCATTTATGCCGAATAAGGTACCTTCTTTACAAATGTTCATCCAAATTGTATTCTATTCTGTATTCATTCCAATTCAAGATGACTAATTACTGTGATAAGCACCATTTACAGTTTTGATTTTGATAAACATGGCTTGTACTTTCTATGGTCAATGAATATAACTGTGACCACTTACTCTATATGCCTTGATTGATTTAATGCACACAAAACTAGTTCTAAGTATGATTTGAGTCTTGAGAGGTTGGAGATCCTGTCCAATCCCATTTCTGTTGTATGGTTCATTCAGGTAGTGTTGTTGCTAATTGCATGTCAATCGGTATTGGTGCCTTTTGTAGTATAGTTCTGATCGGCATTTGTGCTTGTTGCTAATTGCATGCCAATCAGTATTGCAGTATAGTGTCGATCAGTATTAGTGTCTTTTGTAGTACAATGATGATTGACGTTGGTGCATTTTGTAGAGTACCTACAGATGTATCTGGTACAAAAGGCACCAATGTTGATAAGCGTCTTTGAATGTTTCTTAAATTGTAATAGAAAGAAGAATCAAAATATTTCCACAAGGAAATTTATTAGTGATATTATTTAGAGCTGCATATTGATATCATGATCTCATCAAAACATATAGCAAACTGACATTACAAAACATTCCCCCTCATCATAATCCTCAATAATGATAAGAGGAGGATAGCAGTAATAAAAAGAAAAATAAAGGCATTCAAAGTCTAAAAGTCCCCACTCCCCATGAAGCATCCCACTTTTTTCCACTTTCATTCACCACTGTACCTTAACTCTGAATCTACTCAGCCTTTTCCACTGGAACTTCAGAGTCAGCAGCAGATTCCACCACAGTCTCAGCAGCAGGAGGAGCCACCGCCGCTGCAGTTTCCTCCGCCGTGGTCTCAGCAACCTCAGCAGGAGTTTCTTCTTTAGGTACTTCCTCTGCAACACCCTCTTCTGCCTTAGCTTCTTCAGAAGCTGCAGGCTCTGCTGCCGGAGCTCCAGATTCCGCCGCCACTTCCTTGGTCTCAGCCTCTTCAGCTACCGGAGCTGCCACTTCTTGTGCTGTAGTTTCTGATGCTCCTTCTTCCTTTGTCTCTGCAGGTTGTTCATCAGCAGCAGCTGCAGGTGGAGCCACCTCTTCTGCCTTTGGAGCCTCAGTGGTTGTGTTCACCTCAGCTACAACATCCTCTGTCACTGTTGCCGGAACTGATTCAACCTGCAAATCATTAAAAACCATCCTAAAGATCAGTCGAAGAAAGTGACTATGAAAATATGGGCAAAGCAACGCCCACAATATCAGCAAAGAAAAGTGGGTTAAACCCCAACTAAACAAGGTTTTCTATGCTACTAAAAATGCATGGTTTTTTCCATAGTGCTAAATGTCATTGGATTAAAGGGTGATGCAGAATTGCAGATGATGCTTGAAGATTGAAGTACCTCAGCAGTGGCCATTTCAGGTGGTTGAAAGAGAAGATGGAGAAGAGAAAGGATGCAATGGGGTGGCAAAGATAGCAAATTGATTGTGGTGAGAAGAATGATCAGATTGAGAGGTATTTATAGAGATGCAAAACCAACTATTTTAATTAAAATAATGGAATTTTGAGGTATGGGTACACTAATGGAATCTTTAGCCTCACAATGAAGTTTTTATAATTAACTTTGCTTAAGAATTCAAATCTGTCATCACACATTTACCTAGTACGGTTTACCTCCGGTGTAATTTATAGGCTATTACACCGGAGTTAGATACACACCTTTAAGTAGTGACTACAAGTTTCCCTTGTCATCTAAAAAAAAACCAATCAAGGGTATCATTAATTATGTCTGACTTTTAATAATAGAGGTAAATAGTTTCGATTTATATTTGATTCTTTAAAATAAATTTATTTGATTTAATGCCGTGTTAACATTACTATTTTTTATTTTTTATTTTTGAATCAGAGAGGAGGGATCACCCAAAAAGAAACTACTGTCTACTCCACAATGAATCTTTCTAGGCAAGAAAATCCATATGAAGTCCCCCAACAAGAGGTGTTGAAACATAGAAGGTGATAATCAACTCAAAAACCATCAACATACTAAAAAGAAGCTTTAACTAGCTTTTCTACAACTCGATTTTGTTCCCTAGAAATATGTACCGTATAAATTTCGTAAGTCATAACTTATACTCATATTATATTACTTTTTTAGGGATTGAGAGTAAAAATCAAATATATATTATGAAATGGTTGTCTAAACTCTTTAGTGTATTAGGGTATAGTTTATAGGGAAAATGGCAAATCCACATGGTGGTGGAGGCCATTTTAGAGGGCAAGCCATAATCTTTTTCATGAGTGGTTTATTTTGTGCTTTGTGTAAGGTGGATACTGGCTGGCTGGCTGGCTGGGACTATCATGCTTTCATGTTCTTCCAATTCTACTTGGCTTTTGCCTTTTCCTCTATATTTTTGTTTAATAATAATAATAATAATTAATTAATTAATTACTTTCTATGTTATGGTCCCCTGTCATGTAGCCAATCATAATTATACAATGTATCATAGCTCACATTACAATGTGGATTAGTGAGATACAGATTCATTTTTATGATATTGAGATGAACATTTATTAGTGATCTACAATATAATTTGCCTAATAAGAATTCTATCATATAAATTTTCATTTTACTTCTTACTCTTTTGTGTGACAATAAATCTGAATGACTCAAAAGAAAAGTTAATTTACTTTTATTTTTACATTTAATTAGTGAAAGACGCATGAAGAAAATAGTATGCATTGAGAAAATACTTAAAAATGTTCATTGTAATAATATAAATTAAATCTAATGCTTAGTTAAGGCAATTTTTTTACAATGCTAGTATGAAAGTCGTAAGTTTTTGAATTTTTTGGAGTGTAATCTTTTAATTTTATTTTTGTTAAATTTCGGTAAATAAAAATTTTAACTAACTTTTATAAAATATATGAAAAAATGTAACATTACAAACATGTCTTTTTTTTTTTTTGAAATGTACAAACATGTATTTGTCATATCACAAATATGCAATTGTCACGTAATAATGTGTATGTCATTGAACGGATAAGGAACACGAGGGTCCATAGATAGATTGGCTTTTATGTTTGGGTCCTCATAGACGGTGCCAAAATTTGATAATGTATATGTAATTGAGCATATAGGAAAAATTGACAAGATTATAGGAATAATTTTAAAAAAATTATTAATATGTGACGATCAACCTGAATACAGTTGTCAGGAATTTTCGAGCAACAAGGATTCGCTAGATTCTGGACAAAAAAAGGCCCCTTTAATGCAAACTATGTCGCCTTTTATAAGGCGTTCTAGGAGACACATGTCAAGTTCTCTTCATTTGGCCACACGTGGTGGATTGCTAACTAGCAAGGGCGCACTAATCAAGGATAACAAGACATGACAAAACGACATGTGTAGCGTTTCAATCGGGTGAATATGTTATCGCAACTTGGTTAGTATAGGTCAGTCGCACGCACAATGCTAGATCAGCATATAATCCTATCACTAAATCTATGAGTAATAAATGTAAAGGTATGTAGCATGTTCTTTTATTAAAAAGTTTTACTATGTATACTCTCAAATTTTACTCCTTATATAACAAATAAGGATAAACTATTTTTATCATGTTCTTAAAATAATATTTACATTAAGAATTTAAAAGTGAAAATAAAAATTAAAAGTAAAAAAATAGAAGTATTTTCCTTTATTTAAAATTGGGAAACATCAGTACATCACAGGTAGGGGCCATAGAGATCCTGACGTGGTGCCTTTTTTTCTTTGATTTGGCATTGACGACCGCCCATTCAAAAGATAATGTATTGTTTGTGGGCCCATGGTCTTAGATGCTTTCCAGTTAGTACACCCGTGGCTTCGGGCCCCACCTTGCATTCCCTTCAGATTTGCCACGCTGGATTTGTGTCATCGGCACTGATTTCCTGATCGTGTTCCATTTGGATTTTGCTCACCATTTCCAAACCCATTTAACTTTCTAAGTTGAATTCAAAATTCTAATCATATACGACTATTATAATTATGTAGTACACTATATATATATATATATATATATATATATATATATATATATATATATAATTATAATAGTCGTATATAATAGTGGTTCGAGAGACTTTAAGCTGGTTCAAGTAAAACAACTTTGATAAAATGCAAGTTGAAACGGACTCGTTGCTTGTGACCTAAAATCTTAACCGCGCTCTGAACACATCTTCTATCTATCTTATTCTAAATGATATCAGAAACTTGTTGAATGAGTTTACTCATGTAATTTTAACTTTTGCTAGACAATCAACAAATCGGACACCTCATATATTAGTCAAGTAGTCTGTTTTTATGCCTGGTTGTTCGGGATAATTTTCAGACCTTCCATCTTTTCTTTGCAATGTGTTATTTTTGGATATGAATTAATGTGAATGTTTCTTCTTTTTCTTCAAAAAAAAAAAAAATGGAATCCAATATGTCCTTGAAAGCATAATATGAGCTAAGTGGGGTCTACAATTTGATTGAATCTGCTAGGGCGGTGACGGGCCCCACAGGTTGAGCTGTGCATTTGGTTGGGGCTAACAAATGGCGACACTCCACGTGTGCATCAACATGGGTTCGAAAAGTTGCACGGCCTCTCATGTATGGTTACACGTTCCTTGTATTTGATGTATACAGTGGCAATATATATATGTATATAATCTATATTGATTTCATCAAAATTCTTATCCTTATTCATCAAATCCCTTGTGCAGGTTCATTCATTTCTGTTGCCACATAACAATTTAGGAAAGCGAATGTTAGCAATAGATGGAGAAAGGGCAACTAACGTAACAAATCATGCACGTAAACTTTGGAACATATATATATGATATAACAGCTTTCCATTGTGGAGTTTTTGTTCAATTTTTATTTGAGAGAAACAAACTTAAGTTTTTGTTTTTTGTTTTTTTTTGTTTTTTCTTTTTAACCCAACCCTTCTTGAAGTGTGTGTTTTTGCACAATTTTTTTAAAAAAAGGTCCAATAAAATTTACTTATACGTACTCCCAATCAACGCGTCAAGATGGTCACCCGTTGATGACTACATCCAGAGACGGAGCTAGTGCGGGGGCAACTGCCCCCACTCCCCCACCCCACCCCTTTATATATATATATATATATATATATATATATATATATATATATATATATATATATATATATATATATATACACACACACACACACACGCGCGCGCGCGCGCACACACACACACATATAGCATTATATACATATTCTTTTAGTCTACTTCATATGAATCATTCAATTAATGTAATATACAAGTTTATATTATACTTCATTGTATTCGAATTAATTTAGAAAAATTTAAAGTTGATCTAATTAAAAAAATTAAGTTAAAACGTATTTATGAATATAGTATTATTTAAATTATTTTATCTAATTGATTATGTTTCATATGTTGTCACAAATATTTTCACATTGTCTCCCCACTCAAGTATATTTTTGGCTCTGACTCTAACTATCGTGTAATATATAAAAAATATTCTATTGTAATTTATAATGTATTTTGTATTTTAACTTTATTATGACTGTTCGATATTTGTAATTGACATTTCTAACGTTATTTAAACTTCGCCTCCACTCACAAAGTTTTCTAACTCAGCCCCTTACAGCACCTCAAACCTTTTGTTTTTGTTTTTTTTTTTTTTTTTTTTTGTTTTTAAAAATTGTTTCTCTCCCCTCCAACTAGAAAAAAAATTGACAAGATTTAAATTTGAATTTCACCATTGTTGTTGCTCTAAGCAAATTACTAATGCAATGCTTGTCGAGTTGTAGAGATGCATTATGCGTGCTAAAGAGTCCTAAATTAACCATTTTATTGAAAAAGAGTTAAGATTCTGTAAGAATAATTCGAGTTGAATTTGAATTAATCTCACAAATAGATATAATTTTCTAAACGTGATCATTAGGTACACCTATTCAGTACATGCATGTCCATACAGCAATAGCTTGCATACCTAACTTATACGGAACAAAATTAAAGTGTATATTATGAATAGAAAAAGTTCAACCCCACTTCCAGGATGGAGTACATACACGTGTGTGAATGAAAATGTCTAGAGTGAAAATAATTTTGAATGGACACCGTGTAAACTATACTTCTGTATAATTGCTTATAAATTACACATGATAAATAAATTGTACTAGAAAAACTTTACAACAGGACTAGTCTAAGACAGTGTTGACAAAAGTTGAACCCATAACCTTCAGGAGAATCATACTCCACTCACTTGATTACCCATTTCGAAGAACAAACGGTTGATTTTTAGACTATCGGAACAGTCTACCAGCGGGCCAAACACTACCGAAAAGGCTAAGATTGTCAGAAAAGTATTTTGCTCTCAAAACCACTAGCGTAAGTTCAGATTGCTTAACCTAAAAACCTCAACACAACAGCCTCCATTCACCACACTCGCAACTCTCACCACCTTATAGTCATTAGTAACCAGGTTAAACCCAAACCCTAACGGAGTGTTTCACATTTCCACGAGAACTCCGAAGATTTGCGATGGGAAGGCACACAGATTTTTGCATAGAGGGGTTCCAAAGAATCACGTTACAATCACACGTGCGGTCATCATCAGAAAGGCACAACAATCCATTACAGGTACCAACAATTTCAAAATGGCTCATGTCCAAGACAGAGAAAGGAAATTCAATTTCACCAAATTTAACTAAAGAATGCTGATCATCATGATAAAATTCATAGTTCTCCTTTCCCGGAGCAATGCAATCACGTACCAAAAAGCATGAATTTTGCATTGGTACATTTCTCACGTTGTTATCTTAATGATTATGATGCTTCTCTCCACCAATGGTTCATTCTCTCATTTTCATATTCTCATTCATTAATTAGTTTCCTTTTACTACATTTTCATATTCAGACACTAATAATATTACAAGAAATGTTGATAATAGCAAAATTATATGTAGTAAAAGGAAATTAATTAATGAATGAGAGAATAAACTATTAACAGAGAGAAACATCATAATTATGAAGACAACAACGAGAGGAATGTACTAATGGAGAATTCATGCTTTTTGGTACATGATTGCATTGCTCCGAGGGAGGAGAACTATGAATTTTATCATGATGATCAACATTCTTTAATTAAATTTGGTAAAATCAAATTTCCTTTCTCTGTCTTGGACAAGAGGCATTTTGAAATTATTGGTACCTGTAATAGATTGTTGTGCTTTTCTGATGAAGACCGCATGTGTGATTGTAACGTGATTCTTTAGAACCCCTCTGTGCGAAAATCTGTGTGCCTTCCCAGCGCAAATCGAGTTCTCGTGGAAATGTGAAACACTCAGTTAGGGTTTGGGTTTGACCCGGTTAGTAATAACTATAAGGTGGTGAGAGTTGTGAGTGTGGTGGATGGAGGCTGTTGTGTTGAGATTTTTAGGGTAAGCAAACTGAATTTACGCGAGTGATTTTGAGAGCAAAATATTTTTTCGGCAATCTTAGCCTTTTTCCAGTAATGTTGAGTCTGCTGGTAAATTGCTCCGGTAGTCTCAAAACAAACACAAAACAAAATTTGTATTTGAGTCTGTAATCATAATAGACATTCCTAGAGAATTCATCCATATAATGATTAGTTCTAACACTGCGGAGAAAGAAAGAAACGGCGGAGAAAATATGAGAGGAGAGAAAATATATGGAATTAGGATTAACCTATGGATGATATTTATAGATGGAAAATAGTTAGGTAGACTAGGGTTAGGAAATTAACATCAAAAACTGCGGAGAAAGAAAGAAACGGCGGAGAAAATATGAGAGGAAATATATGGAATTAGGGTTAGTAGAAACGGCGGAGAAAATATGAGAGGAGAGGAAATATATGGAATTAGGATTAGTAGAGGGAAAATATAGTTAGGTAGACTAGGGTTAGGAAATTAACATTTTGGTCCCTCAATTGTTTCTCAACTGTCAATATAGTTCCTAATTTTTAATTTTAACCAATTTGATCCTCAAATTGTTTAAAATTTCGTCAATTAAACTATTTCAGGAATTAAATTGATGAAATTTTAAAAATGTAGAAATTACCATTTTAATCCCTGAAAAAATTTAATTGATAAAATTTTAAACAATTCAAGAATCAAATTTGCTGAAATTAAAAATTAGGGACTACATTGAAAATTGAAAAAAAAAAATTATATTTGAATACAAAATGAAAAAGTTGGGTAAATAATAATGAAATCTGAAAATAGCATCCGATGGTGCTGTGGGAGTGATGAAAACACTGCACATAAGACTGCTTTTCTAATTCCTCTTCTTCTTTTTTATTTTTTATTTTTATTTTTTTACTTTGACCTCTTTTTCTTGAAAAGAATTGTGACGTCATCAATTACTTTGTCCTCTTTTTTACTCTCATTTTCTAATTCCTCTTTTTTTTTTTTTTAAATAAGAGTCAAATATGTTATTAAACTGCACACAATAATATAATTAGATCACCGAACATAAAAAAAAAAAAATTTACAATTAGATTCCTAAATTAACCAATTTTATGCCATTCATTTAATTTGCAAGTTTCTAACAGGTCACCTAAATTTAAAATACTATTTTAAAAATAATTTTAAAAAAAAAATTAATCTTCATCTCCAGCTGGAGACAAAGACCTATTTTTTTCTTAATTTTTTTAATTTTAAATAATTTTTTTTTAAACAAAATAATTTTAAAAAAAAATATTTGAAAGTTAGGTTGACATGTTAAAAACTTGCAAATTGAAAGAATGACATGAAATTGGTTAGTTTAGAAATTCAATTTTAAGTTTTTTAGGTTCAATGGCTTATATCGTGTGGTTAGATAGCCTATTTGACCCTTTATTCTTCTTTTTTTTTTTTAAACTTTTGACGGATATATTATACCCACGACCCGACCCGGAGCACCACGTTGGAGCCCAAAAGCACCCCGGCCCACAGAACCATGGAGATACTCCGATCCGACCCGAGTTACGTGGGGCTCAAGTCGAGTGGCACGACCCTATCCAACCTCGGCCCATAGCGAGCTCGAGACCCGACCCGACCCGGTCCGCTCGAGTCCCCGATCAAAAGGCGATCTAACCGCCCCCTTTTTAAGGGAAGCGGTTGGAGGGGGAGGGGGGAGGGGGGGGGGGAGGGGTTTGTTGCACATAAAATCCCCCCCACCTTGTTAGGACATCTACTCACTATTCTATACACTTGTCTTACCAAATTGTTGTAATAGTCAATTCTACGGCATTTAATATAATATACAGTCTCACGGCCTTTTACGGCATCGTTCTATATTATTTATTTCTTATTCGTATTACGTTCTTATCCAGATTTATCGATTCGGGTCCACCTCGGGTTAATTAAATCCATCAACTTTAAAATAGCATTTTAAAATAAACTACTACACCGTATTATTTTAAGCTTCTATGTTTACCAATCAGAAGCTTTAAAATAAGCTTTGCTAAACATAACCTGAGTGTTCTGATATTGCAATCCAATCCGATTATTTCCTACTCCTTTTCTTCCCACATAAATCCCAGGGACATAAACCATGAACAACACGAATAAGATGTAATATCTGATCTGATCTGAGACATAGTGTACACGAATGACGACAATCGCAGTTTGTATGGATTGCTAGGAGCCGGAGCACCAACCTGACATGATGGAGAGCCTCTGTCGTAGATCTACATTATTCATGTTGTGTATTCTGCGTTTATCTTCACATAATCATAACTCAAGTCGCAGCCCCATGCAACTCCACTTCCTGGACCATCACCTGTTTCGATGCAAAAACTATTTAAGTATGGGAACCCAGTTTGAATTTTAACCAAAACATAATATTTTTCACAAGCCCGAGAGTTACCAATAGATATGTGAACTTCAACGGTGCCATGAGTTTCCCCAGCCTTCCTCATATAGTTACTGGCTGCAACACTGCAAGTTTAACGATCATTGATAGGTTGAAAGAAAGCAGAAGAGACGGAAAAGTTGGAAAATATATGCCCAATAGAATGAGCAAAAGACAATGACAGATAGCATAGTGGAAACTTAAAATCACGCAAAGCCTAAGGGGTCGTTTACTAACTTGGAAGAATGGAGGATTTTCCAAAAAAAGGGAGAATTAGAGAAGTGAAAAAATGGAGAATGGAAGACTTGTTTACTAAAATCTTTCCTCCAAATTTACATTCTATCTCCATTCTCCACTTTTTCACTAAATTTGGAGAATAGATAAACAAAGTTCTCTAAATGGAAGAATGCAAGAAGGTGCGCATGAACAGTGCATTCCCTTAAGGTCCATGGATCGATTCCTACAAATGATACATTAGCGTATATTCATGCATTTTCTATTTATCCCCCTTCCCTGCGCATAGCCGCCCACAATTGATTATTTACCATTTTCGTTTTAATTACTCATTATTATTATTACAGTTTTTACTTCCCATTTTGTGCTTTTCACATTCAAAATTATTTTTATTATTATTTATTTTTAGCGTTTTTTCCTTTAATTATTATTATTATTATTATTATTATTATTATTATTATTATTATTATTATTATTATTTTGAGTATTACGGAGTATTATTATTATTATTTATGTACTAAAATGATTGAAATAGTTATAATTATCTAGAAATATGTTTTTATCAATTTTTGTTACCTTTTATACATTTAGTATTAGTGTATTGAAATTTTTTTATTAAAAAATTAAATTTGTAAAATAAATTATTATTATTATTATTATTATTATTATTATCTTTTTCATTTTCCTCCTACTTATATACACAAATTTGTTGTTGTTATTATTAAATTATTACTATTATTATTATTATTAAATTATTACTATTCTTATTATTATTAAATTATTATTATCATTATTACTATTATTATTATTAAATTATTAAATTATTATTATTATTATATTATTATTATATTATTATTATTATCTTTGTTGTAGAAATATACAATTACTATATGGGATGATTGTTTTTAATAGAAATGAAAATCAGAAAAATAAAAAATTGGAGGAATGGAAAAATGAAAAACTGGAAGAATGGAGAAAGAAAACTGGAGAAATGGAAGAATGGAAAACTAGAAATGGAAAAACAGAGAAATGAAGTAAACGACCCCTAAAGGGGCGTTTGGTTCAGGTTATATAACATAACCAAGGGAATGTGACATTCCAAAGCTCACATTCCTATGTTTGGTTCACATTATCTGAGGGAATCTAACATTCCCCAGGAATGTCACATTCCCTCCACATAGGATTTTGAAGGGAATGTGATTCCCTTCAATTTCTAAGGTTATGTAAGATAACCTTGGTTATGTTAGTTTATTACACACACACATATAATTATTTTTGTAATTATATATTTTTTATTTTTATTATCTTAGGTTAGCATATAAAATCATTTTGTTTCTCAAGTTCAATATTTTAGTTAATATTTTAAAATCATGTAATTATATATGATACCGTTATCTTATTTATTTATTTTAATTTTTAAATTTATTAAAATATATGAAAATATGTTAAGGATATTATATTGTGTGAATAAAAGATAACCCTAAACCAAACATGATTATATTACATACCTCAATTTTAACCAAACACGGGAATCTAACATTCCCAGCAATCTAACATTCCCTAAGGTAATATGACATTCCGTGAACCAAACGACCCCTAAGGGTCTCCTGCATGTTTTCGGATATTGGTCAAGGAGTCAAGTAAGTAATTGTTGTTACCTATCAAATGGAAGAGGTTGCCCACCATCCATAAGCAGAGTATCTCCTAGTGATATTTGAAGTTTATTTGGGTTAAAAGGAATTCCCGCATAGCCAGCGGCACAAGCAATGCGTCCCCAATTTGGATCCCTGCCATAAACGGCTGCCTGAGAAGAGAAGACATTTAAAGAGAGCGGAAATCAGTCGGGGATATGTGTTGTAGAACTGCATAAGTTTTAAAGTTTATATGTTGCATGCCTTGGTAAGTGAAGAAGATGCAACTGAACGTGCAACTTTTGCTGCTTCAGCTTCATTTTCTGCTCCAGCTACCCTGACCTGTGTATCCAATTAAGATTGTATGAATCTGTTGAGCATATATATAATATATAAACATAAATGTAGTCCAACTATCAACTTAGGCTTTTAGTTGAGACAGAACACTGAACACATCCTTCAATTTGGTATAGCAAAAAAAAAAATGAAATTATGTTTCAAGTGTTGCTTGTAACAGTATTAGGTAGAAAAAAATGGCATCGTATCAATTGACTAAGTGAACTCATAAAGCAATAGACAAACCATTTCTAATAATTGTTTTTTACTTGACACTTGACAGACACATTTAGTATGACTAGTATCCTCAACAATTTAACAAGTGTACAGACCTCAATCAAGCATGTTGCTCCTTCTCCATCCCAAGCTATAGATTTTGCTAATCCTTGCATTACCTGGAGAATAACCATATTTGTAACGCACCGTAGTCCAAAGGAACAACCGAAGTTTTAGATAAATACCACCGATGTATTAGTTGATGTGTGAGCTGGTGTAACAAGGTGGTGGGGGCAATGCCATGAAAAATGTAACAGAAACACTAAGTGCCGGTTCATTACAAAATAAGAAAATAAAAAATGAATGCATGGGGGCACAAAACTGTGACTCCGTTTCACAAATTCCTAGCATTTTTAAGTGACAAAATACTTACGCCAGTTACTAGTGAGAATTTTACGAGAGCTGGACAAAAAGATGAGAATAAATTAGGTGGTAGGTTCACATACAGCATCAAGACACCTCTGTAGGTGGTTTGCTTCGGAGGTATTCAAAGAAGAGATTTTATTGGTCCCGGAGAGCCCACTAGCCAAAGCGATAACAGCATCATTCGTACTGGTATCTCCATCTACCTGTAAAGCATGTGTATCTGGAGAGGTTTAGAATGTTCTATGCAGTTAATAGATGGAAGTAATCCTAATAAGACTTAGGTAAAACAAGATAAAATTGGACCAAACAAATATATTTGTCCCTAGAAAATTGTAGACACGAAGGGAAATTAACCTTGCAGTTTAAATAAGACTATGAACTGGTATTATTCCTTTGCCAAGTTAAAGTAGAAAAGGCAAAGCTGTTACTTACAGTAATTTGGTTAAAACTTCGGTTAACAGAAACCTGTACCATTCGTCTCCAAACATCACTTGTAACTGAGGCATCAGTAGTAACAACCTGAAATATTTGCATATGTAGTAGCAGTGAGAGAGAGAGAGAGAGAGAGAGAGAGACAATTTTCAGGGCAGTAAGTATGAGACAAAATAACGTACACCAAGCATTGTTGCCATGTTAGGATGGATCATCCCAGAACCCTTTGCCATGCCACCAACTCTTATACGTGTCCCTCCAACCTGATCAGATATTTCCAGATAGACAATGTCACAGTTTGACCGTATATTTCTAGGAACACATGCATAAACAGAGATACTGGTTTATAAACTTAAGTATTATATGATACTGGACATGGCCACTCAGCCCTCTAGAGGAAGGCATGCTTACCTACTATCAAATCCATACTTTTGAGGGGGCAACCCCAACCAAATTGGTTAGGCTGTTGACTTGATAACCACAAGGTTACAAGTTACTCCCAAAGACCTTGTGGTCAAGCGGCATGAAGTGACACTCCCAAATGGAAGGTCATGGGTTCTAGCCAAAGTGGGGGGCGGTGTTGACTCATTGGGCTTCAGTAGGTTGAGAAAGTATATATGAACAGATACTACATGTAACAGGGTCAATAGTATTCAAAAAAAAAAAAAAAAAAAAATCAACTCCCAACGGGATCGACCTATTGGCATTCTTGGTTTGAATCGGTCAGCTACGGGAAACCTAAGCTGGTTTGCGTCCTTGTGGTCCTTTGCTGGCTAGGGTCACAAAGCGAGCTTTACCCAGTGCACACCCTTGGGTAGTGGCTGCGGGTTTCCCTCATCACCCCAAAAAAAAAAAAAAAAAAACCCATGATTTTGAGAACTGAATAGTGAATAGCATCAATAACACACACACAAATGGGACCCTCTACAAATTTTTTGACAGGTATTAGGTATTGGTAATTTGGCATGGTTATGGTATGGCTTATCCTTATCTTACAAGAACCGTCTTGGTCATAAAAACTTAAGTGGAAACTCACATTCAAACACCCAACATACCAAACAATACTTCATCAGAATATGAGCCACAAACAGCTTGGTAATTATTATAGCAAACACAAAACAAATATATAGAAAATAAATTAATTACTTCCGACTCAATAGCCACACTCTTGCTAACAAGATCGGTGGTAGTTATTGCTACAGCTGCAGAATTTGCCCTGCAAGAGGACGAGAGAGCAGCACATTTAGGACATCAAGGAAAAGCCAAGGTCTAATATGGAAACACAATATTATAACAACGAAAAATGGAAGTGTATAAGGCAAAGAGAAACAAAGTATGAAACCATATAATAGTACATATTAAGCAATATCCACAGAGGAATAAGTAAAGCACCCCTCAACACTGGATGACAACAGACTAACTAGCTTTGGGAGTGAGTTGAGAAGGGCCTCCTGCAGATGACATTAAGCATATAAAAAAATTACGGAAATGCATTTAATGTAGTTTTCAGACTGAAAACATATACCTTTCTGTTATCATAAATTGTGACAACATATCAAAGAATTATAATTCAAAGTATTACAAGATACGGGTACTAAGCATTCACCTTCTTTATTCTTCTGCCAATGACTCCGGTGGATTCAATTAACACTTCCTCGTTCTTGAGATGAAGTAACTGTCAGATTAAAAGATTTCCATTCAATTCTTGATGGGTTAGAATAAGAATTCTCCTATACTAGAGAATAGAAAAAATTGCATACATTAGCTAGAGCAGTTGAGCATTCGATTACATCCTGGTACCCTGCATCACCCTGCAAACAACTTGTGAAACTCTTAGCTACATATCAACCGAAAGTCCAAGAAAAATTTTAATGTTAATTAAATTGGAAGATGAGAAATTTTATGTAGAATCTGAAGATAAGCACATATCAAAGCAGGGATCCTTAAACCAAGCATAAAGCTTTCTATGAGATGAAAAAGCAATTACCGTAGCTGCATTAGCTTGGCCAGCATTTATTAGAACTGCACGAGCCTGAAAATAAATAGTAGCATTCAAACTTTTGTTAGAATATTGCTGATTTTTTGGCATCCTTGATGTTTGATTATAATGAGAATTCATCAAACATAATAATAATAATAATAATAATAATAATAATAATAATAATAATAATAATAATAATAATAATAATTCTCATACATACCGTTGGTGATGAATTTAATGCATTTTTGCAATATACTACAGGAGCAGCTGCTACCACATTTTTAGTAAACGCTCCTGGGATTCATGGTTTCAAGACAATGAAGGCGTTGTGAATTCTTAAGAAATTTGTACTGATAATGTACCATGGAAGACAAAGAAACTAACTTTAAATTTTAAATTGAAAACAAAATAAAATAAAATAATAAATAAACCAATCAAATTGAGATTGGCCACTTGAGGCAGAAGATAACCTGCAGAAATGGCATCTACATCACAAGTGACAAGTGCTAGGTCAGGTTTCTCTCCAAGTGCACGCAATCCACCATACATCCCAGCAGCTTTAAAACCAATTGCAGCAGTAACGCCTCCTGGAATCTAACAGTTTATAGCATCCTAAATTGCCTATTGATTCATAAATAACATTGCAGGCTCCAAATTAAAGAAAAGCAAACACATAAATAACATAGAACCAGAAAATTGACATTGCCCTTTTATCTACTTCTCTACTGTCAGTCCTATAATCCACACCACTAAAACATCACCAAACTACATGATTTCATTACTTTAAAATGTATACATCAATTCAACAATATTAACTTGATAACACAAAAAGACTAGACCTTTGGAAAAAGAGGGAGTAGCTCACCTGCTGCCATGGCCCTTCAGGAAGGAGAATCGGAGCAGCTGGAATGTAATTGGACGCCTCTTTTGCAACAGAAGCAACTGCCATTGCCCTTCTGCACTGATCCGGAAACCGATATCTCTGCACTTCATAAATTTCCTTTACACCTCAAGATCACCAAAAGAAGAAGAAGAAGAAAAAAAAAAATCTTGAAGATATGGAGAAAGAAGAAATAAAACAAAATTTTACCCTTTGCTTCATAAAAAAGCCTAGACTAGAACGTATTAAACAGTGTAATCAAGAAAAGAAACCGAGAATGAGGCAATGAAATACATTGAATGTATACGGAATTGAAGAGAAAGAAGTAACCTTTTGCACAGTGAACCCTGAGGATTTGAGAGAGACAAGGTGAGGAATACATGCCGACATTTTTTGGGTTCCAATTTAGTAGGGTTTTTGCTTGAGGTTTAGCAGAGGACAAAGGTAAGTAGAAGGAGAGGATCTTCGACTCAAATTCAGGGGCAGATCCAGAAATTTTGCCAAGTGGGGGCGAACTTCAAATAAATTCAAAAATGTCAATGACAAAATATCAAACACCGATAATATGATTCAAATATAAAATGCATTATAAATTACAATACAATGTTTATCATTAATCAATCCTGCTACATTACAATTCACTAATTCAAACTTCAAGCAGTGGACTAATAGCATATTGAAATTTGAAATTTTTGGAATCAATAGCATACAACATACTGGAATAGTGGGCTAATCATTAACCAATAAACCATATGGATTATGGAGTACTTAATTTACAGATAATATACACAAAATACAGACAATATACATAGAATTATCTTTTTGGGGCTATATGTATACTGATACTGGAATACTTGACCAAAAAATCATATGGATTATGGAGTACTTAATTTACATACAATATACACAGTAGCACAGAATACAAACAATATACACTAAATAATTCTTTTGGGGATGTATGTATATATACAACATACTGATACAGTGATACTGGAATAGTGGACTAACCATCAAACCAATAAATTGGATTATGGAATACTTGATTTACAGACAATATATAGCCCCAAAACAACTTCGTTTTGGGTCTGTATAATTATTGGCCTAGATCAAGCTGGGTTTTAGGCATGAGCCTACAATTGGTCTAGCATGGCTAAAGCCCTTTTCAAAAGCCTATTTAATATGTAGGTCATTAAAAAGGTTTCAAACTAAGCCGAACCGACCTACATGTTAAGCTTTTTTTATAGCATACATATCTGTAAAAATTTTAAAAATATACCTAATACAAAACTAATACATAACTACACAAGTACATCACAACAATGCAAACAAATTAGCAATGTTTATAACAAGAAGTTAACATATTGACAACATCTGCATGGGTGAAATATAGAACTATTTACATTAAAAATACAAAAAGAAAAAGATAAAAGGAATACAATATTAATGGAGTGGACAAATTCATGTAAAACATTGTAACTGCCCTTTTCTAAGAAGGCATTTCTCAAGGTGTCATGATCAGCTATTGATAATGCTTAATGCATATAATCAGTTAAACAGGACATAAGAAGTCCAACGGGAGCAATACTTGAAGCGGCAAACTACACTGGCTAGTGTCAACCTGGCTACCGAACTACACCACTGCTAGACTGGAAGACATACCTATCACTGCCGGTCGGTCACCGCCTCGCCGGAAGTTGTGCCGCTGCCGCCCGTCGCCAATCGAAGAGTCGTCGCGCAACTCGCAGCCGCAAGAGTCAGGAGAAAGGAGATAAATGACTTACCAATTAGAAAGGGGATTCTGGGGTTTAGGTTTGGTAATTTGTATATATACTTGGGGTTATATTGTAAATATAAAAATATATTGGGTATAAAATAGAGATTATATGTCGAGTGTCCCGGTAAAAGATGCTGTTGAATGATAGTCGTTGATCTCGCTAAAATCAATCGTTCAAATTGAACACAGATAAAAAAAAAATTTCGGTGACAATTTGATCTTTTTGCATTTAGATCAAACTTAAGGTGCGTAGTTTTTATGTTTAAGGTGCGTCGTTTTCCTTCTTAATGTGCATCAGTTCTTCAGTTGAGAATTTAAAGTGCATATCCGAACGGGCTTAGCTCAATGGTTTAGTGGGCAGTATTTGGGAAAAGAGACCAAGATTTGAACCTCGGCAGTGGCAGTGTGGAAATTATGTCCAAAGTGGGCAGATTCTTTGTGCGCACCGACATTTGGCTCTATCTGTTGAACCATTGAGTCACCGTGATTTACATCTTCCCACAATGCTCTGTCGGGTTGGGGATTTAACCTTTTGAGAAAGGAGAATCTAAAATTTTAGGTGCGTCTTTCCATAATTTAATGTTCATTTTTAGAACATTTAGTACACGTGCTTCACATTGTAATGTAGACCAATAATTTGTCAGTCAAACACCAAGTAAACAGAAAGTCAATAGTAGCAACAAAAATAATTTTTGAAAGATATAGGGAGTGTTTAGTAAATGACTATTAATTGATTGGGTTAGTGAGTTTGACTAATTAATAGTGATTATAAAAAAAATATTTGGGCCCTATTTGGTAAAATATTAGCTCAACTAATTTGAACTTATTTGACCACTATTAATTATTTGACTTAATTAAAAAATCAACTCTAAAACACTAAAATTCAAAATGTTGCTCAAAACAACCTTTCAATTAGCTTTTTGAAGAAAAAAAAAATATACCAAACAGCTATCAGCTAATTTACTAAACATTTTTCTACAATTAACTAATATTATCAACGAGTTATACCCAATCAACTAACAGTCATTTACCAACCAGGACCTTGATAAATTAGTTATTAGCTATTTACATATATACATGGTTGTTTTCAAAGTTGACAATGTGAAACTATCACAATACTCGGATTCTCGGAGGACCAATACAAGTATTAACTCTTGATTTTTACATTTTAGAAAAAATGAATATCATATCTTGAAAAAGAAAATTCTACAATTTCAACAACAACAAAAAAAATCGTACCAACTACTATAAATAGAAGGGACAATACCATTTCTGTAAGCAGAATGGAAGTCATTGACATTGTGTCATGAAAAAAGGTCAGGAACTTAAATTGATGCAAAAGAATATCTCTTTAGTGTATAATGTATATGCAGTCTTCAACCAAAACAATACTCAGATAGTCAGATCAGCAAATATGATCAAAATCACTAGTGTACAACAATTGTGTGAATTGCCATTTGGCCATTATGGGGGTAAGAACTATCTTTTCAATGAAACGAATAGATATCTGTTGCGTGAATTCACGAGCTCAATGTCTGCACATTCAAAGGCGAACCTAGGGAAGAAGCATAAGTGTGGAGATAAACTAAGTTATGTATAAAATCAGCCGTTGACCAGTTTCCTCAAGACAGCTTCAGCTCGTTGCTCGAATTTAGGCAGTGCCCAATCGTGCTGCGCTATATCTAAATTGTCCTTTTCCGCGCCCAAGCTCTGAACAAAAAGGGGACAAAGATGAGAAATTCAATAGTATATGGGAACTCCTCAGGTAATGTATAAGTAAATCTATTTCCCTTTTACTGCATTTTAAAGACAATGATGATATTCTCAACCTCCCGAGTCACTATGCATAGGATGTCATAATCATCCCAATCATTGGTTGAATTTGTTACACTCAGTCCACAAGCCAATTTATATAATTATATACCATGTAGTCACTAATGCAAGAGTGCGACCAGTTTAATCCCAATGTTAACAGGTTGGCTGGGATAGAAAAACAAAGAATACAACACTGGACACTAATTAAAGATTCCTAAATGACAATGGCTCAAGAATTGATAGAAAGCCTTGTCTAAGTGACTTTAAGAAGTACACAGTTTTCAGCATTTAAAGGACAGGAATAAGAATTTTTTTAATGTAGTATATCAATTCAGTGAATGAATATTTTGGAATAAAAAATCAATGGATGAGAACCCACCTTTGAGGGGTCAAAACCAAATCCACTCATTTGCATCATGCGTTGGGTATCATCTGTAGCTGCAAGAAGGGATGGTGTCAATAATCACACTTACAATTTGCAAACATTGATAATCTCAATCTAGATAACAATTACCATTTTCCTCTCCCAGAATGAGACTAAACAAGCCTCTCAATCCAAAAAGATTAAGGAAGTACCTGAAAGCATAGCAAATCTTATTGAAAATTTGAGTGTGGTTCTATGTAACATGTGCAGATGCACTAAACTTCATCAAAAGAAAGAACAATCGGGGGGAGCAAATGAGCAATACCATGAACGGCTGCTAACATAGCTGACGTCAACGGTACTCAAGTCGATTCCATTTTGCAACATTGATCTGAACCTCTGAGTTAATGGAAATGGTATTTTTGCTGAAAAGAGTGGCATCCATATATTTAGAATAGATATTAGATAACATCAGAACAAAAAAGCAAAGTGAAAGACCACATATTTGCCATATTGGTCACACAACTACTCATCAAGCTGAGATAGAGTGCATCAACAACAAAGTTTAAGGATTCAATTCTATCACTGACTAAAAAGGAAATTAAAGAAATGCAAACCTGCTACAAACCCAGAGAAGAAGAAGTTAACCCATGCAAAAGTAAGGGTCTGCACAAGAACAGAACTTGTTAGATTCCAATCCCCAGCAATGTTAACAGTCCAGGGAAATTAGGTACAAGTGTGCTAAAAAAAAAAAAAAGAACCTGAGGTATGATCATCGACAGATTTTTCTTCATCATATCCATAGCCATGTTGGGATCAGAAAGCATTTGTGCCTGTGGATTCTGATCCTGCCCTTTAGGAACAAAGAGTAACCCATTTTCCTGCATTCTCAAACAACACAGGGCTTTTAGTCCTTTCACTAACTACTGTCAACAGATGAACAGAATGGTTTTCTCTGCATGGTATGAAGTATAAACTTAGATGCCCCCATTTAACCTGAAAATACAATTGCTATTCCTAAGAACATAAATGTCATCAATTAGTTAGCTACTTAATAATAATTACCCAACTGTGTCAGTAATGCAGCTTTTAGTCCTACTAATCCACTGAACACATGATCATCAATTCATTACTGATTTTCAAATATACATTTTACTGATTTCTACCACTGTTATAATTAACAGCTGCATTATCAATTAATCAATTACTTATTTTACTACTATCATACTATCTACTAAGCAGTTTTCATAATAAATCAACATTAATTGAGCTTGATAACACAACTATTCTGGCATTATACTCAATAGTTACATTCCAGCCTTCCCCTTCATCTCGCCTGTTATTTTCTGGTAGTCCTCTCTCTGTTCAATTCAAAGTTGAACCCACAAAATTCGCAATAAATTCTAACACTGAACTAAAGTTTCTAGCTTTTAGCAGATAAACATCAAAGCAATAACATATCATACATCTCTTACGAGTATGATTACCTCATTGCTGTAATAAAACCTCCGTGCTCTAAAAGACTTCGCGGGAATCAAATTACCACTGGCTCTCAAATTCCTTGCCCTAATTATCACCTGCCTAAACAAAACCGCAGAAATAAATAAACAATATTTACAAATAAATCAATCAATCAATCAGTCAAATCCCACGGAGAGAGGGAGATAGTAAAATAAAAACCCTTCTTTGACGATTTTAGCATCGGGTAGCTGAGAAGAAGATGAGCGCATGAGCTTGGAGACGAAGTAGCGGAGGATTCCGATGAGTACCATCACCACCGATAGCGGTATCAGCACCCAGTCTCTGATTGCAGTGTCCAATACCAAATCTTCCGCCATCTCTTTCCCGCTGTCTCTCTGCTTCTGAGGAATTCAGAATCTCGGATTCTCAATTCTCATATGTATTGGGCATTGGGAAATCAGATGATTCGGGTATTCGGGTCCCAGATCTCATGATTCAACAAGACAACAACGTTTCTGTATGGGCCTAAAATGTACCCACATTTCAGTTGGGCTGGTCGTTGTACCAACATGCGGCAAATTACACTGTGAGCACGCAATAGTTATGCTGTGCAACCGAATGCACCATGCGCATGGTGCATACGATGCAAAACGATGTCGTTTTGATTAAAAATGTACGTCCCACTTTAAAAAAAAAATCAGGTTCGATTCTCGGCAATAGCATTATTGTGGATATATAGTTATGAATTTATGGATATTTAGTTCATTCATTGTGAATATTTAGTTCATTCATTGTAGATATTTACTTCATTCATTCACTGTGGATATATAGTTATGAATTTATGGATATATAGTTATGAATTTCTGGATATTTAGTTCATTCATTGTGAATATTTAGTTCAATCATTGTGGATATTTAATTCATTCATTGTTGATTTTTACTTCATTCATTCACTATGGATATATAGTTGTGGATTTTTACTTCACTCATTCACTGTGGATATATAGTTATGAATTTGTGGATATATAGTTATGAATTTATGGATATATAAAAATGCTATTGCCGGGAATCGAACCTGATTTCTTCTTTAAGTGGGACGCGCGTCTTTTAACTAAAACGACGTCGTTTTGGACCGAATGCACCATGCGCATGGTGCATTCGGTTGCACAACATAATTTGCGGTGAGCACGTGTCCATCTTGCAATGTGACACAGTTTCATATTCATAATTTTTATATTGTAGATTCATAATTTCTCATATGTGTTTGGTTTTGATCGTGTAGTATAATATTACCTTGTTTGGTTCAGGGTTATATTTTATGTTATATGGATCAATTATTATAATGTCCTCAATAATATATACTTCCCCCGTCT